ATGTGCTTTATTGTAAGAAAGGTAAAAATGTGATTCAAATGCAAAAGAAAAAAAAGAAAAAAGTAAAAGAAAAATGATTTGTGCAGTTTATAGAGAAAATATTGTGAATGATCAAACATCAGAAGTGATTCTTAAAGTTTTGTGCTGTAGATTTGTTGAATGCTGCTCTACAACCTGGTTCACCAACTGAGGCTGATAGCAGTCAATATAAAGTCTTACTTGAGAATAAACAATATTATGTTATAGTCAACTATACAAGTCAAACATAGAAAATTACTTGTACCAGTTTGGATATGTTAGTTGATTGGATAAATATGCAAAAAATAAAAAAAATTGTGCAGTTTATAGAGAAGGTACTGTGAATGATCAAACATATCAAAAGTGGTTTGCAAAATTTTGTGCTTGAGATTTTTATACTTAATGATCCTCCACTGTCAGAATCACCAACTGAAGATTATAATGATCAAACCAAGACATTAATTAGGTATAATTGACTTCATATAATGTGGAAGACGCCGACATACACAAAATATCTAAATGAAGAACAGAATTTTCTTTGCACCAAATAGTCATATTGCTGTTTGTCTTCTACATAGGTTAAATAAAAAAATCCTATTGGTTTATATTTCCATATACATTATGCTTTTCATTTTTTAAAATAAATTGTGATAATGATGAAAAGTGGATGTTTTAAAACAATGTAAAATGCGAGCGATCATGGAGAAAGTGAAATGAATCACTACTAATTGTACCAAAAAACTGGCCTTTATGTAAAGATGAGGCTGTATATATGGTGGGATTGAAAGAAGAACCTCTAATATGAGCTACGTCTGGAGAACCAAATGATTGATTCAAACAAGAAGGTAGCAACTGATGAAAAATGTCTGCACTTAGAAAAATGTTATAATATTTTGTCAGGATAATATTAATTTGTATGTTTCTTTGGTGACCAGACAAAAATCATTACACCTTGGCTGGGAAGTTTCTACTCATCTGCCATATTCATCAAATATTGTACTTTTGAATTAATGTCAATCTTTACAGATTTCTTTTAACAAAAATATGTTTCAATTCTCTGAAAGATTGTAAAAGGCACCTAGAGTAAGTGTTCATTTACAAAAATAATTTTGGGAGGATGGAATTAAGAAGTTACCTAAAAAAAATGTTAAATATTTTATTCAATAAAATTAATGTGAAAAATCTTTTTAAATAATTTTTTTTCATGTAATAAACCCCAAAAATATTAGATTCTTTGCTAGATTTTCAAATCTTTATAACTTCTTAAAAACATTTGCTGAGAAGTTCTTTTCTCTGAATTTTTGCTGTTTTTCATAATAACTTCCAGACAATCAGAAAATGGTGCAGATTGTAAATAAAAAGTAAGCTTCTTGTAAGATTCAAACCCACATCCCTTATCCTTGAGAGCCTGTTTTTCTGTGGCAGCTACTTTATTGATTAAACTATGAAGACCAGCTAAAAAGAGTCAACTCTATTTCTTACTTTTCTAAATACCAATACTCTGCCATCTTTGTCAACATTTCAATTATAATATTAAATGTAATCCTATTCAAATTTCTTAGGTAAATCATTGACAATTATTATGTTGTAGCATACCTATGGACAATAATAGATATGCTCCTATTCCCATAAATACAGTAGTGAATACTGTATGTGTTGGTCTACAGTTGAAGATTTATTGTGGAATTCACTTAACTCACTTCTTGCAGTATGTGTTGCTGGTGAATCTTATATGCGTTGTTCTTGTCCTAAGTATTATCATTCATTACCAATCTTCGTGTGATTATTCTATTCAGTAACCTTCGCTAGGTTACAACATTTTGGATCTCATCTTTGTTGCCAAAATACTGCAACCTAGGGAAGGTTACTGAATAGAATAATCACACAAAAAGAACCAATAATGAATGATATAAGTTTCATGATCACCAGTTTTTCAACTGCTAGAAATGAGTCAAGTGAATTCCACAATGAATCTTCAATTGCAGACCAATACATACAGTATTCACTACTGTATTTATGGGAATGTGGGCATATACATTATCGTCTGTAGGTATGCTACAAAAAAGGACTTGTTTTATCTTAATTTCTGATGTTTTCCATCCCAATTTGAATATTACTGTTTTATGGCAATAAACAGTACAAATGGAAAATGAGGAATAAACCTACGGATTTATTTCCAATCTACACTGATTGTTGACAGTTTAACAATTGATGATACTTCCTCTAAGAAATTTAAATGTTACTATTTTTATTGTTTTACAACTTCCTGGTTAAGAGTTGTGAATTAAAGAAATAATGAATTTGGATTAAGTGATATAAGAAAGCCTAGAAAGAGAATTATTTAATGAAAATTGTAGATAAGCAGAAAATGTCTACAGGATTGAATAAAGTTGCTCACAGCACGATTTGAATCTCCAACTTAGTTAAGTTAATCCAATACTTAACCTTAATGCATTCAGTTTGAGTATGGGCCTGAATTTATGAAATGAAGAATTTGTAAAAGAACCTAATGGTTCCTGCCAGTAGCTATATTGTTTAATAAGGAAAACAATTTAAACTATTCAGAAATAGCACACAAAACCAATTTCAATTTTGTATTTGAAATTTAATAATGCAGAGGGTTTTTTTTTTTTTTTCTTTTTTATAAATCACAAATTTTCAAAAAAGTGATTGCTTCAGTCTTACAATATTATGTCTATTTGTAATAATGATTTTAAAATATGGAATAAATTTGACACAATGATCAAATAAGAAACAAGTAGAAAATTTTTACAAATTTAAAATGTTTCACTATTTATTTAGCTTCATCAAAAACTTTTTGGAGAGTGGAATCATTCAGAGTTATATTTTAAATTCTATATTGTCTTGTTTGATTGTGTAGATGTGATGTATATTGACATTTAGAGCTTATGTCTGCATCAATTTTTAAATTTTAGGTTTCTGTTTTTCATTGGTTGTGTGGATATCATCTGACAGCATCAAATATCAACAATTAGATATACACATGACATCTGCACAATCAATGAAAACAAAAACCTTAAAAAGTGATACAGAGAGATATATATATATATATATATATATATATATATATATATATATATATACTAATGCCAATATACATGTTGAGATTGAAACAACCAATAAAAGCAAAACATAGAATTTAAAAGCTGAAATATAACTCTGAATCATTCCATTCCCAAAATTTCTGATAAAACGAAATAAATAATGAAACATATCAAATTTATAAAGATTTTCTAATTGTTCCTGTTTTAATTATTTATATTAATATATATATATATATATATATATATATATATATATATATATATAATCCTTTTAAAAATAAATGGCAAATTCTGTCTGTCCATCTGTGTGTCTGAAATCCCTCTAACTTGGGCCACACTTGCTCTACATAAATATATTATACCATTTTGGAGCCAGGATGATCCCAGGATTGAAAATCTGCTCCTCATCTGGTGCTTGAACATCCAGCATTGTGATCTGTGCCCAGATGAGGAGAGAACAGTTACAAATTCAAATTTTAAATAACTGAAAAAAAAAAAAGAAAAAAAAAAAGTGATTTTAAAAGTTTTTAATTTATATTGAGTTTAAAGTATCACTAAAACTTTGTGAATTTACAAACTTTTGTTTTAAATTCAGTTTAAAATATCTTCAAAACTTTGTGAATTGAGGAAATCAATTTTATTTCTTCAAAAAGACCAAGGGATCAGAGTTAAAGTGAGAGGTTTTGTGACATGAGGTTTTCAAGTTTCACAGAATTTGTTATTTGAAGAATTTGATTTTTGGCCCAAATCAGACTTTTGGCTGGAACTGGATTTATAGCCTGAATCAAAGTTAAAATGAGGTTTTGAAGTTCCATGGAGTGAAATGAGGAATTCAAAGTTATTTCTTCAAAATTATCATTGCTGTTTTCTAAGCTCGATCTGAGGTCCCTTTAGTTTTGGGCCAGAGGCCAATTAGCCATCCACAGGAGCTAGCTTAAAAGTCAACACAGAGTGTGGCTTTTAAACTTTTAAGTAGAAATTCAACTTTTTAAATTCAAATGATTTCTAACTGACCTTATTCTTCAAATTTAAAAAAGAAAAAAAAATTGTGTGGTTAAGTATGGAATTTACCAAATAAAATTTGTTACTTGTTAATAATTTAAGTTTTTTTTTAGTCATACAAAAAGAATGACTAAAAACTTTTCATTTCCAGGACTGAGACTAAATTCACTGAGTTGTAAAATGGTTTACAAATATTGAAAGAAAAAAGCAACAACATTGTTTATATCAGTGCATTTATGTGTATATGTACAGTAATGATTCACAAACATTTTAAAAAATTCATTTTTGATTAAATAAAAACAAGAAAAATATCTCTGCAATATTGATGAAGAAATATTTAACAAATTTTGTGAATTTAGTGCTAAAAATGAGACTTTATATTTAATCAATATTCACTAATTCCAGTTTTTTTTTTAAAAAAACAAAAAAAACAAACAAAAACATAAAACTTTGCATGTTCTCCCCAAATAAAGAGAGATAACAAGCTGCAATTTCACACCCAAATAGTCTGTTTTCAAAATTTCTATTTTTTTTTTTTTTATAATTATGATTTTGAGCAACTTCAGAGTTTTGGGTAGGTAGAGTTGTAAAACTTTTGCAACAGCTGTACTGCATTTGTTTTTTTTTGTTTTTTTTTTTAAGGTCATTCACAGCCTGCAATGTTTTGAAATATCTCAGAGCAGCACAATAAGAATAACAAACAATAAACATAAAAGTATTTTGTATTCCCTTTAATATTCAGACAGTAATGATAGAAAAACAAGAATGATTGTGAGATGATAAAAATGTGAAACTCTTTGCTTATCTTGAATCCCACCCCCTTCCCATCCCAACTCTTCTAGTAATTGTTGTCACAACAAGTGAAACATTAGTTGTGGTTGAGTGTCCTCAGGGCTTTATGAAAAGATGTTGAAATCAACCAGAGAAAAAGGCAATAGCAATTGATTCCGGCGTTAACCTTCCTCTGGTTGTCCTGCTGTATGTGGTAGAGCTTAAAAAAAAAGTATAAAATAATTAGGAATCCAATTAAAAAAAAAATTTTCTAAAAAAAAAAAAAAAAAAAAATGAATGAATAATTTCATCACCTATTGACGAAAATACATTTTACACAACAAATATTGATATTTTAATGTAATCTCCTTTCTTGTTAATGCACTTAATTAAGACATGGATATTAATCACATAGATTAAACATTATATATTGAAAAGTTCAGATTAAAATTTAGGTGATAACTGTGTTAGGCTACAGTTTTATTGATCATAAATGTACAATTTCAACAATATTAAATCTCATTAATAAAATGGGAGGTCCATTCAACAGATCCATTTTTAAAAGGACCAAATTTCATTAAAACATAACACTTTTATAAATTCTTACAAATCATTTTAAAATTAAACATTTAAAATCAACTTGTAAAACTTGTTATTGAACAAAATTTAGATTTTAGTTAGTTTACATAAGTTTAAAATGGTCCACAAAAATAAAGGTATATGAACAACTTAGTTGGTCAAATGAAATGTTTACAAATATTAAAATTTATGTTCTTTTAAGGATACTAGATGAATTACTTGAAAGTGAAAAGCAATTGGAAGTAATGAGAAATGTAGCTAAATTGAATAATCTGACAAACAAAATCTTTTTTTAGTAAAATTTGTGATATCAAGAAACTTTTATTTTAAAATACAAAGACTTAATCATAGACCATTTGAAATTCATACAAAAAACAAAACAAAAATAAACAACATTCTTAGCATATTTTAAAGGGTAGATATTAAAAGGTCCAGTTCCTGATCTTAGCTACTGACTTGATTATTAAATGGAAAACAATATCAAGACTTTAATAAACAAAATTTGACAACTGAAAAGCAACAAAAAAATATAAAAAATAAACCAGCAATTTCAGCTTAACAATCAAATCATATATACATCCATAATGTGCGTTTTAAAGGAAATCCCCAAATTTATGTATATTTTGTTAATCATTTTATAAATCAAAGATGGTGACATAAAATCATTACTTCTTTTTACATTTGATTGATAGCTTTCTTGAGAAGTTAAATCTTTATATTTCAAGAGGTTAGCAAGTCGGTCTCCCAAGTCAGTGTGAATTCAATTCTTTGTTTGCTTTGTGTCAATAAATGTTTCAAGATGTGAAATGTTCATTCATATGTTCACATACACACAAAGCAAGTTCCAGAAGATTGCCTTTGGTTTGTTTACTAAAGCATTAAACACTGAAGATACAATCTTAAAACAAAATAAAAAACAATAGGATAAGAATATACTTGTACAGACATGCTGAGATCATTTTAGAAAAATTCATATCAAATCTCAATACAGAGACAATGTGCATTTTATAAGGACACATAAATAAACACATACATAAAATATGATAGGAATGTATGTCGCAGTCCTTCATTATGCAAGAATCTCTTTGCATATTTTTATGTTCCTTTGTTGGGTTTTATTATCAACTTGTGTGAACATTTTTGTCAATGATATCAATCTCCAAACAAGAGATATAGGTAAATTATTTCTTTGCACAAAGGAATCACAAATATTAAAAAAGAAAAGGAAAGAAAAGTAAAAAGTAATAAATAATAAAAGAAATACTGTAATTCTGAATTTTGACAAATTTTCTTACCTATTTGCTGGCCTTGGGTTGATGTCACAATCCTTCACTAGAGGGAGGAGCAGCTCCTAGAAAGAAATTGACCATTTAGAAAAAAACGGTTTTAAATCAGGAGAAATCAATTTTCATCAATATAAACAAATGTTAAATCAATTTCAATTGATTTCCTCATGAATGAAAAAACACTCGTTTCTACCAATGAATTCTGAGAACACTATAGACCAGTCATAGAAAAACCATGGCCTATTTGGTCTTTCTGAATGGCATGTTTAATTTCATAAAGAAAATAATGTTTCTTGAAATTTTTTGTTTCCTTCTCACTTATTCACTCACACACTCTCTCATACATAACCAATGTGTAAGTAAAAGGTTTCTTGAATTTTGTAAACTTTTGGAGAAAGTAACATTGCCAGCATTTTAAACCATTGCTGATTTTCACTAAGGAAGTTTACATCTTTTGCTTTTGAAACAGGAAACATTCATAAGAATTTTTTTCTCTAAAGAAGAAATGTTTTTATTTTCAAATGAATAAGTTTGAAATAAATCAAAAAGAGCATCATATGTTAATCACACTGTCACCAGTGATATTATACCAAGAATTCAATTTTTTGAATTATAAAAAATATTTTCTAAGAACAAACTTTCCTCCCATTTCTAAGGTATATATGCTTATGCATATGGTTTTCTGTAGTGAAAATAGCTGGCATATCTACTACAAAAATCTACTTTGAATCTTTTTAGTAGTGTGGCCCACCTTCTGATGAGCCATAGAAAATGTTGTCCATACCTGTCATAGACAAATGAACAAGGTCTAAGGAGGCTAGGGATGATAAAAAAAATCTTTTGATAACAATCAGAGATAGACAACTGAAATTCCTAAGATACATAATGAAGACATAAGGCTTGGTGAATGTAATAAGATTACATTGAAGGCAAGAGAAGCAGAAGAAAGCCTTGAATAACTGACTAGACAAGTTTGTGCAAATAGATGAAAAATAAGTAGCACAAACATAAAAAACAAAAGTGTTGAGGGCAATGTCCTAAAGAGACAGAGCACATAGATAAACAAATGCTTCTCTATAGAATCTTTTCTTTACCTTAGCTTCATAAGATTCAGACAGAGATTTCTTAATATTCTAGCCTCACATAAATTTCCTCAATGACACTATAAGCACTAAAATTTTTTATTAGTACTAGAGGAATTCTTACATGTCAGTTCACTCTATGAGTGCTACTGGTACCATGTAACCTAATACTACCCACTGTATGGTCAGTTCCTTAGCAACTAAACCAGTTCCCCTACAAGGTTTTTTTTCTGGTGAAGATGGTGGCTAGGCACCAAGCAGGATTAAAAAGATCTGTCAAACCTTGTAGGATCAACGGCCATCTAGCAAAATGGGGTAGATGAGCTCCATAGCTATTTATGCAGCCAGTGCTGTGATGACATGGCATCACTGGGCAGAGGGCTTCCTTGACTGGAGCCAATGGCCACAGTAGAGGGTTTCCCTGATGAAATAAAAGGTCATGTGTCTGTAACCAAGGCAAGTCTTCAAGTTGGCTGCAATTTGACCTGGAGAGGGATGGTCTCCATAAGGTCTATTTGCAGAAGATATGAGACTGGTCAGAAAGTTAATTATAGTGCTCAGCTGCGTAGCAACCTTATGACCACACCCAGACTGATGATGAAAGGAATTTATAAGTAAAACTGAATTAAAAAACTTCTGACTCACCTTTTTCACCTGTTCTTGCTTCATCCCTGGCTTTCATTCTTTGAATGAATCCTTGGCTTTTACTCTTACGGAACTGTTCAAAAGGATCTTTTATATCAAAGCCTATTCCTTTGTACAGATTTTGCCTGTCCCGACACTCCCCTCCAGCAATTGGGTCTACAATGCCTTGCTCTGTTACACCAAGTCCTTTTCCACTCCAACCTATTGTTGCAATGCAAAAAAATATCAGAAACAGGTAAAATCATTTAATACACATAATCAACTGATATGTTTCTTTTTCTTTACAGTATTAATAAAACATAAATCTATAAAAGTGAAAGCAAAACATTTACCATTTCACATGGTAACTTCACAATGACCCCATCAAGTTTCAAATATCAACATGATCCACATAGGATATTTATAAGAAATATACTTAGTCTTTTGTGAAATTTAAAAACCAGTGTTTTTTCCTTTTGTTTTATTATAGTGTCTTGAGTTCCAAAATGTTGCTTAACTCTACTGATCAACTAGAACAGTGTCTTCATACATTAATTCAATGGACAATGATAATAAAATGAAGAGCCTTGTTCAAAAGGCCATATGCCTAGCCATCTCTCAATCAGGTTTCTTATCCATCATAAAGTTTTATAGTTAAGTCATATTATCAAGATTTTAGCATCTGAGAATGTGCCAGTGTTTTTGATGTTGATGATGGAATGCAATTTACAAGATTTAAAGCCAAATAGAAATCAAAGAAACTCAGAAATGAGAATTCAAAAAGGTGAAAGGAACAGAAAAAAAGCAAAAAAAAAAACAATCACAACAGATTGCTTTCATAGCAAATCTTGATCACAATCTCCACATCTCGATCCCAGTTTTAGAAAAATTGTTATAAATGTTATTGATCAGACTGGAATGCAGTTTTTGCTTGGCTTAATTGGATATCATGTTACAAAGAGATTTTCATCTTCTCATATGTCTCTTTATGCAATATAATTTCCAAATATAAACAAGTAAACATTTGCCAAAGAAATGATCAAAACTACCGTCATCAGTTAAATTGTCAAGTTATGTTGAAGCAACACTAGAAATATAAAAATGTTTATGTGCAATGTTTTGCTTTTTCTATTTAATAAATCTATAATTGAGAGTAACTACTACAATCAAGATAGGAAGTCATTGGATGTGTTTTATATTCAAGTGATCCCTTGAGACTTAAAACGAACAATTGTGTATACATTTTTGGGAGGATGAGTACTCGAGAGAGAGAGGTAGAAAGTTAATTATAATGCTAGCTGACATCATATATTATACCATTGAAATCCTAAACTTACCCATCTTCATGAGCAGTTGATGGCCTTTATTATCTTCACCAATACGTTGATCAAAAGTGCCAGGTCCAAAGTTTTCATTAGCACTAAAAAAATGAAATCAGATCATGATCATCAAACAGCATAAATAAGATATGTTCAATTATAATTAATATTACAAAAGTCAAATCATACCACAAGGTTCTTTTTGTTCCGGAAACTTGAATTTAGAAAACATGGTTGGAACATGTATCTATTTAAATTGAACATGTAAATATGTTTGGAACATGTACTAATTTAAATTGAACTTGTACATGTAGAAAATGAACATTTCTTTTTTCTTGTTTGTCATATTTTAACTTTTTATTTCATTTTTACTGTTTTGTTTTAAATTTTTTATTAGGAATTTTGGAGGTCATTTTTTTTTAATCTCAAAGTGAAAATGTCTGTCATAAGTAAAATACATTCAAGGAAGTGGATATCAAATTTTTATTTTTCAATCATTCAGAAAAATTTCCATAAGAATACAGAAAAACCAGCAATGCATCATTTTTTTTAATTGCAATTTTTGTTTCCAATGAGCCCGTGAAAACAGTCAAGTCTAGCAGCAGTTAAAAAAAAAAAAAAAAAAAAAAATCTGAAAATTTGGACATGTAAAACTTATGTTAAAAAAAAAAAAAAATTTGCAATATTTACATTTTAGTTAAAAGTTAAAAAAAAGCCTTTTGGACACTCCACTTCCTGTGAAAATTGTAGTATTTTTCTTTTACTGAGAAATTGTACATATACAGCATGTAAATTTTATTAACATGTACATACACATATGAGAAAGAACCATTTCTGTTTTGTAAGAGTATTGGCTGCAGGACTTTAAATATTGTTTGAAATATCATCTAAAACTGATGACTGAAAAATAATTCCTTGATATAGTACAAGCAGAGAAATTATGATATTTCCTTCAACAAAACCAAAGATTTTGGAATATTGTTTGGAGCTACACATCTTTAGTTACCAAATGAAATAATATTCATGATGTTATTACGGTTGGCACAACACAAAAAATAAGATGAAACAGATTCTTAGAAATTAAAGTTGAAAGAAAAGATTACATCTAATAATGAAAAGTGGGTTATATTTAACATATAATAAAATACTTTTTTAATAAACAGTTTGCTGCAGTTTAACAATATACATTGGGAAATGCTAACAAGCTAATAAGTGTGTGAGAGCCCAGAAAGTAGTGGTAGTAGTGGCTTAATGTGGGAATGGGAGAGGAAATCCTTATATCGTTAAGATTAAGGCAACGGATGAGAATTGTCACTAGTCAAAGAATAATATTATTTTCTTCTTAGAATAATAGTTGGATATTCACATGTATATAAAATAAAGGAGTTTGGTCAATAATATCAAGGAATAAAAGGTAATGTATTTATTGATAGCCTTTTATTTTGAGGACTGTCGGAATTTAGATTCTTTCGGTCAAAGTTTTGTTCATGAATCAAACGGACTGGAGTCAACTTCAGTAGTAGTCGTGGCTGTGGGTTCAGGAGGCGGACTGGCTCGTTGGTACGACTCCTATTTATATATGTTTTTAGTACCCTCTAGAACCCAGTAGAAGTTTCTAGAGACTTCTAGAAAGTTCCATTCCATTATTATGAAATCTAAAGGGTTTGGTGAATGGTAGCTTTTTGTAAGGTAAAAAGGGCAAAATGGGGCCTCGTAACAATGTTAAAAAAACACTTTTATCACTATTCTACATTAATACACAGGATACAAGAAAGATCTTTTTGGTATATCAACACTAAAGTGGGTAATGCACCATCAGTGCCTCTTATAGTGAGCATCTTTTGCTTTCTTTAGTCATTAAATTTATTGGCTCAAAAGAATCACAAAGCTTGACAGAAACAGACAAAGATTTTCAAAAAGTTGCTTATTTGATGAGGTAAATGGTGATATTAGAATCTGTGAAAAAAATTAGTTTGTTGTAAACAGTTTGTTTGTGTAAGGACAAAAATTTACTTACAAACTTGGAGGAGTAGTGCTGCAAGACCGTCTTCTATTCCTGGCTGGTGAAGGAGATCTGGATTTACTACTACGGAGATATGGAAGAGGTGACTTGGATTTAGATCGGGAACGAGATCTGGAATGAGATCTGCCAAGGAGAAATTTATTGATAAAAATGTTGTTAGAAAAAAATATCAAACAATAGGTGTGTTATACTTTTTTTTTTCTAGCATTTACTGAGATTATACAAGTTGTTTGTAATTATTTAAAGGCAAGAGACATTAAGAACTTTACCTACTATGCTTTTCTTATAGCTTTAGCAGTTCTCTATTTAACAAACTTCACCTATCAAGCACAAAAGATAGAAACAAAGACCATGCTTTTCTCTGTCGTGTGTTCTTCTCATAAATGTCAAGATGTACTCATGGGGAAAAGTCAGTCACATTCAATATTCTTTTGTTTGGAAAGATTAAAACTTCAAGGTTTATTATTATTTGTCTCAAGCACCATAAATGCCTGAAGGGAAATGGTGCATCGAGACAACACAAATGAGAATGAGGAGTAACTAAAGCAGCAGGTGGTTGTGATTAAAATTTCCATTAACTTGTGACTGATTGGATACTAATGGGCAGAACAATAAAGAAAACAGACATGATAAAAGGGTTTTTAAAGATTAGCTACAATTTTTTTCTCTCTCACTTTTTTGCTTTTAAATACCCAAGCTAAAAACTGATTCTGTGATACACATGATATCTATTAGGAGATCAATGCAGTTAGAATAACATACACAAAACTGCTCATTTAGGGAGCCAAGGAATAACTATAGGAAGGAAGATACAAATACACACATGTCCATATACTTGGCATGTATTTACTGAAATGAAATAAAGACTATTAGATATAAATAAACTGTCATTTATACACAGACACACACACACATATCCCAACATTCAGAAAGCTCTCGGGATTATTAATGGAGAGGTTATTAGACAACCATAATAATAAGTTATTAGAGAAGGATGTACAGAAGAAAAAAAAATGCAACTACCGAATTAAGGAAGAGTGTACACTTGATGGAAATTGCTTGATAAAAGATATAGTGTACAAAGCAAAAATTACAAATAAAGATGAAATAAAATTCTATATTGGAGTAGCTAAAGGTGATTAGAAAAATCAGTACCACAATCATAAAATGAGCATAAGTCACAAGAAATATACGAACAGCACTGACAGCTCTGCATGAAGCCCCAGAGATAAAGTGAAGGAGATTGGTTAAGACAAACGCATACAAGGAGAGATGAATAAGATGTAATCTGTGTCTGACAAAGAAGTTAATAATACTACAGAGAATTAGTAGTAGTCTGTTAAATAAAAGGAACAAACTGATGGCAACCTGTATGTTATGGGGTCCTCCCCTTTTCATATAAGTGGACTCTACCAGTGTACCTGGACTGCTGCCGTTAAATACCCAGAGTTAGACAGTCAGCTAGAGAGGATATATGGAGAGAGAGAGAGAGAATATACGAATGAAGATAGTGTGAGGTAACCTCTTGTAGAAGTCAGTTACATGCATGTAGACTCTAAGGAAGTCCTACTTTGAGACTGTATATATTTATCTGTATTTGCTACTAACCGCGTTCCTGGACTTACTAACAGTATTACTCTTTGTATGATTGTGTAAATACATTTTATTTCTTATATTTAATTATTGCGTTTGTCATTCCTTGGAGACCGAATTCATCTCGGAATCCACAACACTGTAAACACAGGATAAATATATAATAAAATCATTCAACATAGTTGTGCATACAAATTCCAAAAATTATAAATGCATGGGCAGGATATAAATTGATCAAATTGGCAAGGTTTCCACACGATGATTGCTTATTATATAAAACCCAGAGGTGTGGCATGGTATATAGAGGCATAATCAATTTAATTATTTGCTTATATATTACTTATATATTAGTTTGTTACATTTATTTTTTTCTTATGTTCTGTGAATGATCTTCAAAAATGATTTTTTGTAGCATTTTTCCTTCTTAGTAACTCTGGTCATCCTGTGAAACTTTTGTCTAATGTTATTGAAATTTTATTTCAGATTAGACATCCCTTTGAAATGAAATACCAAGCAGAAAAGAATGAGAATGTTTGATATGAAGGTCACAAACCTGCCAAAGCTGTTCAAGACATTTGTGCTTCATTACTGACAGAATTGGCACAGAAATAGTTTTCCTCTTTCAAGGATGGAAAGTTCAAATAGACCCCACGTTCAGCTTTAATGAGAACTAATTGCATGTGCTGATTAAAGAAGAACTGCACCAGACCTCTAGGGAATTGGCTCAGAAGATCGCAAGCTCTCATATTACTGTTGTTTGTCATCTTCACTCAATGAGTAAGGTCCTGAAATACAGTGCATTGGTGCCACATGCATTGACCAAAAGAAATAAATTCCAGTGCTCCTCTATTGCTGCTAGTTTACTCAATTGGCACAAAAAAAGAGCTTGTTTGTGAAGTTCTGCCTCACTCACCATATTCTCTTCAAGCTACCACATTTTTTGGTAGTTTACAAACAATTTGAGGAGTGTTTGGTTCAACAACATGGAACTTAAAATGTGGCTTGATGAATTTTTCAAGTCAAAATCTAGAAATTTCTATTCTCAAGACATTGAACAGTGGATGATTGCCGGGTGGTTGTAAACAATGAAGGAGAATACATTGTCAAATGATTCATCAGAAATATTAATAAATATTAAAATAAATTATTACAAAAAATTAAATTTATGTAACAGTCTAATACATGTATGTTCTGTCTTTTGATACTGAACACTTGTGTTTTTATTACTGGTAAGTTTTTGTACATTTTATTATACTGTAAGTGTTTCTACACTTTATTTTATATATATATATATATATATATATATATATATATATATATATATATATAATATAATAGGCTCAAACACTAATATTCCATGGTTATCATTTATTATATTGGAATCGTAATCACTATCCAATTTATCAAACCTACAAATTCAAAAAGAAATCGGAAAATATATATATATAATTAGTGGGTATCTATTTATCTCACTAGATAAAGGTAGCACCCTGTTTGATCAAAATTCAGTCTTTTATTGGTGAAACATGAGTGACCTCTGCAGGCTGTGCACTGTCAAGACTATATGGCTCTTCTCTTAACGATACTGACAAGATCCAAAGGAATATAGAGCATTACATTTGGGGCTGGCTTGGCTGTAGGAGTTGCTGGAAAGTTGTCAGTGTTGACAGCCAACTGCCTCTGGGGCTCCACTCTGGGTTTTCTATCTGGATTTACTTCCATGGCCTTTTTCGTGTTTGGATATAACCACAAGACAACAGAGGTTTAAAATTAGGGCTTTTCTTCCTCTAGATGAACTGCCTTCCTAGCCTGTTGAGCTCCAGTTACTCAAATATATATTAGCAGTAATAAGAGGTGTGAACTGTGCATTCACCATCAAGTTCAAATGTATTAGTTGCATTTGACCAAGCTCTAGTGCACTCAAGCACATCCATAAATATCTCACATCAGTAAAACTAACATAGGTATACTGTGTATATGAAAACAAATGCACATTATCAACATAAAAAATTTTAACCAGCTAAAAAGATATGTGGAAAGGAAATATTTTTCTTGTTCAACTCATATAAGTATAAATAAAACAAAATTATACAAATGAGTATACAACTTGAAAGTTTAAGTTTTTGTATAAATCAAGTAAATCTTCAAGTCTTTATTTCAAAACAAATATAGTTAAAAATTTAGACAATCTTTCGTTTTCACAAGCCAAAACAAAAATATTTAAAAAATACAATAAGTGCAATTGTTAGAAATTGATTAAAATTATTTATAATTATGCAAATCTTCTTTTATGACAATAGCTTAAGTGAAACTTGAACAGCTTAATGTTCAGATATTAATTCAAGTTAAAAATAACAATGTCCTTTTATCTTTTGCAATCTACAAGACAAAACACAAAACTTCAGTTCTTTTATCTCATGTAGGCAAAGACAAGGTTAATGATGCCATTAAATGTTAGCAAACAATGTTTTTTGACAAACAATACTATCCCTTAGTAACCTTTGATGAACTTGACATTGCAGATGTATTCTTGCCTGTATGTGTACAGAGTAGTGGTCATCAGAGATAACCAGTCCTAAAAAGTCAGACTGGCAAATGGCAGTCGACTACTTCAACCCTATTATTAGAGATGATCAACAATGACCCTCCCCATTCAAGTTAGCATTATCTAGGGTCAATAACCTTGTCTGATCAACCCAGGCTTCAGCTGCTGACTTATCTATTAAAAGAAACAGGTTGCCTTTATCCTGCAGGTAGGAACCTATCCTCAAATATATATTTCCAGCTTTAAAAAAAGCACAGAAGATCTAATAATAATAATAATAATAATAATAATAATATTTGAAATCCTTCAGAAAGTGAAGTTCAGTTTAAAAGAAAAAGAATACAGAATAAATTAATAAGTGAACCTGTGTGCAAAGAAAAAAATCTACTTTATTTATTACATTTTTTTTTTAACTTACTTCTGATGTAAGATTATTTTCTGACAAAATACCAAGTAAAACAAATGGTGTGTGTGTGTGTGTAGGCACCTATACATTTTCTTTAAAGTCGTTTTAATGACATGTTGCAAATGATCTTTATATTGGCCAAATTACCTAAATGAAATGTTTCCTTCAAAATTTGAACTTTGAAATATAAAACTTAAGAATAAAAAATGTACTTAATATATAATTTTTTCCATGTAAGCTTAAAGATTTTTTTTTAATGAAAAATGATAATTTTATTGTTTATTTGTTGCAGGAGGTGTTTGAAAGCTTTCTGAACCTCACAGACTCAGTTACTGATTTGCTTCATTTATATATATATATATATATATATATATATATATATATATATATATATATATATACACACACACATATATATAGTGGTTGCCAACTTGTGCTCATGCAAAAGCCATTACTACATGTCTTTTTGGAGAATATCTACAGATGTGCTGAACAAATATGGCTCTTTACCCCAGCAAGGGACTCATATACTCTGGCACAAACAGGGCAATTAAGAGGTGCAACAATGGGCATTACATTATCATGCAATTTAAAATGTCACATGAAACCACTTCCGGACCCGCAAATATCACAATTTCAGTTGCTGGACGTCTACGGGTTTATAGTCAATTGCCACCCTCTGTTGGTGCACTCTCAAGTGACTCCTTAGACCAGCCAAACACACTCTCCCACAATCTGTACATGTCAGATCAAGCTGCATGCTGGTGTCTTCATACATACATATATAATGTTTAAAATTTGCAATGCTTATAGGCAAAGAGTGCTTGATATTAGAGACAGAATATTTGTAGATATAGAGTGTGGATGTGGGAATTAACACTGCATAGTGACTGTTTAGTTTAATTCCTCAATATGATCTTCAGGTCAAGAAGATCACATTGAAGCATGAAGTTGGCAGTCACCATGCAGTGTTGATGCATATATTCACACTTAGACTGGAGAGGGTTAGGCTCCATCAGGCTATCTTGCCTAAGACAAAGCACTTTTACTGTGGCTGCAGTACAAGTGGTGCCCCTATGACTCTAATGAGTTATGGAATTGATGATGATCCACACTTATATATATATATATATATAAGTAACAAAAATCTTGGTAATCCGTATGGATAATCCCAAGGAGAATGAAATCCTGAGAGCTCAATGTTAATTCAGAGCAAATAATTTAATTTAAAGAAAAACAGACCACTTTAAGGCTCCATTTGTAATAATTTATTTCACCAGAGAATTTTATTTTTCGCTGGATCATCAGACTTTCGTGTGTGTGTGTGGGTGGGAGTAGGACTGATCTAAACTATATCTGACTTAAAAAATGACAATGACAAAAGCTTAATTTGGGGATAAGTAGGAAACATTATTACAGATTGTTGAGTTTTTAAAAACAGAAGATAAGACAACAAAAAGATAATAAAAAATTATGCCATTTTAAAAAGTACAAGATTTTATATGACCCTTTACTTCATAAAACCATTCCTAACAAAGAGTGCCTTAGAATACATATTAAAAGTAAAATATGAAATGCCCTCAACTTAGATTTTTCCGAACATAGTCTCCTTCATTTTCAATGAATAATCAAAACTCCCATATTCAAAAGATAATATTAGTGTCTTACCTTCTTGGAGGTCTGGATCTGGGAGAGTTTGAGCGGGAACGTGGTCGGGGTGGAGATTGGGACCGGGATCTGCTTCGAAACCGATCTGTCTGTTGTGATTGCTTTTCTTTTTCTTTTTCCTTTTCTAATTCTCGGTCTTTGAGTTTCTTTGCTTTCTGTTTAGCCTTAAAGAATTCATAAAGTCCTAGTTTTTCCCAACCCTCACTAAAAAAAGACAAAACAAAAAAAAAAAAATTATAGGTTAACAAGAAACCAGAATTGTAAAACTTAAGAAATCTGAATGTCATTTTTGAATCACTTCTTAGGCTCAACAAAGTAATCTTTATATCAGGTTTCAAATACACTACTGCGCATAACTAGATTTTACAACTGGGTGCTCTTCTTGGCACTAATTAATTTATTATTGATATATATCTCTTTGGCAATAAATTTTCCAAAAGTTTACTTTTTAAAACAGACATTTCTTTTCAGAAACATGGAAATATATTCTTATGAATATGAGAAATCAATTTAAAATTAAGAAATAAGTATAGAGATGCAATATTTTACATTTTACATACTTATCTTTGTTTTACATATTTTTTATAAATATTTTAAAATATATATTTTATATAATATTTTTATTATTACAGTAAAATGTTTGCCACAAACAATGTCAACTCCTATAATAGAATTTGGCATTGAATAAATTCATTGTCATAATGCAAAAGAACCAATAATATGTAATACTATAATTTCAGTTAATCTTCAAATTCTCAATTTTCAACTTAAGTAACTAAGACGATATTGTCTTAACATTTTTTAGTTCAATTTTGTGACTTGGGAAAGTGTATCATGATGATTGGCTATTAGTCCTATCTGACCTATTTCCTAGACAGTAGCTCCATTGTTACAGGAAGAAGAGAAATCTCAAAATATTTTCAGTGTTTGTGATTTATGCTCAAAGAAGCTAGTCCGAGTAAAACAGATCAAGTACACATGATAAGTACACAATAAGTATGTAGGCCCCAGTCTGTCACTAATAATGCAAACAATTGTGGTAAGACGATAGGTAATGTTTTCAAGAGAAAAAGCAAAAATAATCTTAAAGATTTAATCTTTAGCTGCTGTTGACGCAGAACCCAATGTTGATGGTCTGAATAAAGTTGGGATGAAAAAATGTAAGATGAAAGAAACGCTAGTTAAAAAATTAAAAATAGTTGAGAAAAACAACTTTTATAAATTTTAAAATACTTGCATTGAAATTGTTATTAAAAGTATTTACTTTTTAAAGCTTGTAGCATTAGGAAAACAAAAGTGAATGTTTTCAAAGGTAAATGAACAATAATTATATCTTTATCAACATTAGAAATGTCAAACAAAACAAGATCAGCTAACTTTTTCTGAGAAGTAAGTTGCATTTGGATAAATATCTGACCATAAAATAAACCATTTATGAATAAATTGTTGTTTTCAATGGAAAATCTGACAGTATATACTAAAGTATAATAATATTTATACTCTGGAAGATTTTATTACATTTTTCAATGTTTTTACTTATATGTCTATGATAAATATATCATATAAATTTCAACCTTAGAATGTCAGTTCTTATTAAAAATATTTACAATAACTTATTTGACAGTGTGGGGTTTTATGCCACATGAGTTGTTCATACATACACACAAACATATATATATATATATATATATATATATATATATATATATATATATATATATATATATATATATATATATATATAGTACAGTTATTAATATTTTTTGATTTCAGATATATAAAGATTCCTATAGGTTAAAAGAAAGACATAATCTCAAAAAGAAGATATCGTAAAGTTATTTAGTGATGAAAAACAAAGTAAAAACAACTTTCTATACTCTATTTGGATATTGTATTTATAAGATGTAAAACATAGAGATACTAATACTTGCATAAGACCCTTCAAAAAATGCTGGATCAGCACTTCTCTCTAGAAGGGTTAGAGTATCTGTGCCATGTGCCTGCAGTGTAGTACCTGTGTGCTTTACCTTAGTGTTTGTAAATAAATTTGACTGTGCTGTTCAAGTAGAAGAATGTTCATGTAATTGATATGTCACTTGCTTGCTTGTTGGACATTCAAATTAGGACAGTTTTTATTTGTTAATTTTATATATCTGTCTGCTTTTTATCCTGACAGATATAATGGAAAAACAATGATCCTTGTACTGCGTGAATAAGTCCTTCAAATAATTTTTTGATATTTTTAATTTGTTGAAACCACTGACAAGACAAAAATGATAGACTACAATTAGCCTGTAATTTTTTGTAGGTTCACATTTTTTTCTATTGCATCTTCCTTTAAAAGTTTGTCAAATTCTGAGCTTTTCCAGAGCATTCTTTACCCTTGAGCTCAAAATCCCCTATTTTAAATTTTATAAACCATTCCTGAGAATTTCAAATCAGAATTTAGCTAATAACTACAAGCCTATTGTTCTCTCACTCTCTTTGATGCACACACAGAGAATTATAATATATCACACATAAAGTGCTGGTGTTAATAAAACAGTGCTTGATATAATACAACAGAGCTATTAAGTATATATTAATGAATATGCATATTATTCCTCACTGACGTTTATAAATTTAATATGCTTCACTTTTATTTAAGGTTCATCAGAAATTTTGGGGAAATGAATTATGGAAGAGAAAATTCCATTACTTTTAGTTCCGTGTTGTTTGCTTTTCATTGGTCAGGTAGACCTTACGTGTTTTTGACTTGTGGCGTTAATGTGTATGTACATTTGGATTCTAGTGTGTATTTTTGTATCAGTCTGGTAGTATCTGTGCGTATAATTCCTAAAGATGATAGTAAGATGTTGGCATGCATATGTGTTTGTGTATCATATTTCTAGTTGGTCTTGCAGGATTTGAAGTGTCTTGGAGGATCTCAAAAATTTTTGATGAAGCTTAAATAAAAATGAAACATGTTAAATTTATAAACATCTCGTATCTGTTTCTTATCTTCTCATTCTGTTGGATTCCAATATATATATATATGCAATTAACAAATTTTTTGAATCGTACAATATTTCTTATTTAATATTAACCATTATTTTAATGATTTCAGCCACAGGCAGCAATGTTCCGGAGGAGCAGATGAGTGGAATAAAATCCATGATCATTGATGACCAACAGAGGACTTAAGAAGATTTTAATGACTACACATGTTTGAATAAACATTTCTGTTTATTTACAAAAGTGAAATAAACATTTACCAGGCTAGATCATTAAAAGTTCAAGAGATACTTTTTACTTTAATAAGACATTTGATGATCTCAACCACTGGTTCTCAGCAGGTGGTCCATGTAACATTACTGGGGGTCTACCCCAAAAAATAGCAAATTGGGGATCCACAGTAATATTTTAGTAGATCATAGAGAAATTTCATTTTGGAACAGTTTTTACAACTGAGAATTGGAATTTCTACAGTAATCTACACCATATTAAAATACTAAAAATAGAAAACCATCTCTAAAACTAGCAGAAAACAAGATCAAGCGATGTAAGTTAGCATCCCTTTTATTCTACCAGATGTGTTGATTGTAAAAAGTTGAATAAAAACTGAGAAGGATATATAAAAAGGAAAATTTTTATATAATATATTATTCCTAATCTAGTAGTAAAAATTAAAATAATCTTTTTTTTTCATTGAACAGTTATAGAGGTCCACCTAAAAAATTAAGAGGAAAATTAGTCCATGGGTAAAAAAAAATGTTGAGAACCACTTATCTAGACCATCAGGCATCAATTTCATTGTTTTCAAATAAACAAGGATCTTTATTTAAACACAAGCATCCACTAAAATAATTCTTATAGTAAGAATATATATATATATATATATATATATATATATATATATATATATATATATATATATAAATATAAGATTGGTGTATATGGAATAAATTCCAATAACCAGAAAATACTATTCTTAAAAGAGTGCACAATACAGAGTAGAGCAAATATAATTATTTATTTGAAAATTATAACATAAATAGGTTATAAATTTTTTACAAAAGATAGCCATTTTGTTTCAACACTTCTGGTGTCTTATCAAGTGATGGTGCTTCACTTGATAAGACACCAGAAGTGTTGAAACAAAATGGCTATATTTTTGTAGTGATTTTATAACATATTTATGTTATAATTTTCAAATAAATAATTATATATATATATATATATATATAGAGAGAGAGAGAGAGAGAGAGAGACACATATATATATATGTGAAAATCTAGATGGGCAGTAACTGACCACGACTTCTAATTTCATGTGTTTTCAAGAAACAATCAAACAGTCGGTGGCTGTAGTTTATAAAACAGGCACACTTATACCACCAGGTGAGTCCAAGATGGTGAGCCAAGTAATTTTTGTAGCATTAAAATAACAGACTGAAAACAAAAATGTTATCTCCTGTTGTTATTTTTATTATATCACAAAATAACTGTGTATCCTTGTTTTTACTTTCTGCCCTTTTAATATCATTATGATTATTTACTCAATGAAATTCATTTGAAAAGGACAGATATATATTTTACATGCTTTTCTTTCTTTCTAGAATGGTAATTCTTTATTAAAATAAAAAACAAATGACCCTTGAGGAAGACTGAACAGATGATCTTACCTGTCTCGTGGTCTGTCATGTGAAGGATTACTGTAGAAGGCTTCCACAGCAGCCAAAAGCCGTTCACTTGGGGGCATTGGGGGAGGTAAACGGATATCTTTAGAATCTAGTGGCTTGTAATCAGTGTCTTCCAGCTGAATTAAAAAGAAAAAAAATTAAGGTAATATAAGATTTGCACATGATACTTAACTAGCAAAATCAACAACAGAAACATCACTATTTGTAATTAGCATGATTATTTTAAAAAAATCTTTTTTACGTAATTCATTCATATAATTAAAAGCAAAAACCAAAACTGTAAAAATACAAGTGACCATTTGTTTATGGTACAGCTTCAGATATTATTTCCTTTTGTATGACGGAGGTGCAGAAAAAGTATTATCCCAACTCAAATCCTAAAATCAGTACTGTGATGACTGGTCATTAAAATAATAATTTTGGAAACTTTTCAGCAACCCCTCATGGATATTTTTCTGGTTGAAAAATAAATTTTTCATCCCTTGGAAACTTGTGGATTAAACAAATGGTTATCAACACAAGCTAGCAACCTTCAAAGGCAACCTGATGACAGCTCTATTTGTCTTCAATATAGCACATGCAGTTATGACTTTATGTAACCTTGTTTAAAGTTTTATTGGTACATGAAAGTTGCAAACAGTGACTTCTAGCACTTCTTAAAAGATTAAGCTAACAGATTAAGAAAAATATTAATCAAAGCAGGAAGCAATGGGAGGTTAAAATAAAGATTGGTTCAAAAATATTAAGTAGAACCATAAAATAAAGATTAGAGAAAGTGCCAAAATGGCTACTAACCAAGACTATAAGTTTACATCACTGGAATTACACTTTTGGGTAACACCCAAGGGTCAAACATTTATCAGATTAGAATGTGTCAGCTAAAACTTGGCTGGGAGCCTAAAAATATATTTATTTCCAGTATTGAGCAGGAAATATATTAAATTCACATTCCACCTTCCCCAGTATGCTAAAATAATATATTCAACATTTATGAAATGTTAGGACATGTTAGTGCAACTGGGAAAAATTAAAAGCAGAGGATTAGGCCACTTCTACCCTCTGAAATAGATTGTGATATTGATTTTCACACTCTTTGTTTTTTATCCTAAGAACTGGAGGGATGTTAACAGGTCATTGAGCCTTGGAAAGAGAGTGGAGGTTTATACTCATAACAGTAAAAGATTTTGCATCTCCAGAACAGCTGTGAGGTTAAAGGTGATACTCTATTCTTTCTATAAATCAGTACTTACAAGCAGCAGCAGCAGGCGAGTAAAAAAAAGGAGTTCTGATCATCCATATTGATAATAGAGCAGAACAAGAAAATGGTTTTGTCTGTCCATATCAGTGATAGAGTGAGCTAGAGAAAGAAAGATTTGTAGCAGTTGCCAAGAAAGTTAAGATCTAGTGTTGTGGTCAAAGTTAGTAGCACAAGAGAGTGCTTTGGAAATATGAAATCAGGTAAAAAAAAAAAACTAGTTAAAATTGAAACTCAGTAGTTTGTAATTGATTAGATATTTTCAACAGAAAAATTATATAAATAAGTATTGTATGCTTGCTATTTTTTTCTTCTGATTTATAAACCAATTACAAGGAAGAATGCCAAGTAAAGCAGAAGTCTAGCTCTTGTCTACACTCTCAAAGGATTCTGGACATATTTCTGTGCTTTGTCATGTTGACCATTGATTAGAATGGGCACCAATTTGCAAATTGATAATGATATAAACAGACAATGGATACAAACACATGCATACATGTAAATATCAATAAATTAAAAATACACATAAAGTTCTTACTAATAAACTTAAACACTTTGACTGGCACATGTCACAATATAAAGTTTGTATGAAATGTATACTGATATGAATACAGACATGTAAAATAAAGATATCATCACACACACACACACTCACTTACTTAAACCTGTATTTTACAAGAAAACACTGAAAATAATAATTGATATCTGTTATAAAAGAGCTACTTAATGTCTGATAATAATTTTTAATAGTAATTTTATTTATTTCAAGAGATTCATAAAAACATATGCACTCAAGTATAAAATGATTTATGTTCAAACAAATAGAAAATATAGTGACATCCTCGCTACATGTATAAATAATGGTACAAATAATTTATTTTTTGATAGTTGCATATATAAATCCTGGGTTGATCATTTGATAACAGCATAAATCAACACAGTCACCATCACCAGTCACTTGTTTGGATCTAAGTGCAATGCTGCTTAACTATAGTGATCATCTGGCAACTGTCATTTTTGGATGCTCAGGCAATAATTCCAGTATATATTGCATCAGAACAACAGTTCATAACTTTTTTTTTCAGTGAATTTCAAAGACAATATTTAGACATTTGTATATAGATTTTTTTCAACTACATGTGTCACTTTGTTACACTACCTTTCACCATCTTTGATACAACTTCATGATTTATTTCTGGGTGATGAATTGGTTTAAGTGGTTTTTATAGGCTTCCAGAGAATTGAAGTTCTTCCTATTAAGAGAATTTTGTAGAGACTGAAAAATGGTAATAACAAAGGTGCAAGGTCAAGTGATCATGGCAGTGTAGTAGAACACCTCAGCTAAGCTGTACCAATTTCTGCAATGTCTGCAAAGATATGCGAGGTCTGGTATTATCCCGATGGAAGACAGCATCCTTTCAACTGGCCAATTCTAGATACTTTTCATTGATTGTTGTCAACTGGGAGCATTTACGTGTCTGAATTCATTTGATTTTGCAGAAGGAGCTTTTAATACACAATGCCCTTTCAATCCCACTAGATACACAGAATCACCTTCTTCAGATGCAAATTGATTTTGGAGTGGCTATTGGTGATGCATATCATTTTCTCCAGGACCATTTTCACTCCACATTGTTGTAAACAATCCATTTTTAATTTTTCTGTGATCTTTCTTTTTGTTTTGTTTAAGCAGAGAACTGTAGACAGAAATGCAATCCATTATATTTTTTTTTCCCTTAAATCAAGAGGCCCTCAAACATTGTAACAGTTCATGTATAAAAGTCTTTTCAGATGCCTCATTATGCTCATATGAGGCATATGGAGTATCCCTGCAATATCCTATGTTATGTGGCCTGGATCATTTTGATTTAATCACCATCAGTGTCTGCAGGCCTGCCTGAATGTTTTTGATCTTCCAGAACAAAATTTCTATTTTTGAACCTAGTAAACCACTTACAAGCAATACTCTCAACGGTGGTACCATATCCATAAATGGTACATATCTTTTTTACTGCTTGTATAGCATTTTCCCCCCTTTCTAAAAATAAAAAGCATTAAATAATAAAACCAAATCTCATTTTTTCTCCATTTTCATATAAAAACAGTTAAAATTCACACTCCACACAGAAATTGTATAGAAAGAATATATATATATATATATATATTATAAATTAATTGACTTAAAATATAGTTTTTTCCGTTACACAGTTCTAACCGTGTTTCAAAAATAGAAGCTAAAAACCCCGAATTTAATTTTGCAATTAAATTAAAAGCATTAGTTCCATTTCATCTTCAAGCGAATTTTGGAGTAACTTTTAAAAATTACTGGGTTTTAAAGACACAGCTAAAATCACGTTTCCATGGTTACAGAATATTCTACTTCAATTAGACAAGGGATATCTAGATTTTCCTTATGTCAGTATCATTGTATCAGTTATTAGCTACAATTTGGTAAGGGGTAGGGATGTATTTTTCAATGAAAACTGACATCCGTTGAATGAATGTCGTCGGGATTTTTGTTTTAAATTATTGTTAAAGTTAAAAAATTCTTACGGCATTTTTTTTTCCATTTATAAATTTAAAGATTTTTGGGGGTGTTCAGATCTTAATACTTTTTATTTAACAACGATTTGAAATATTCTCATTTTTAATTTTTATTATACTATATTCTTTTTAAGAACAGTTAAATGTATTAGAATCCATTATATTATGTAGGATTATGTTAACATCAAGTTTAAGTATGTATATGAGGTTACATTTTTTTTTTTCTTTTTCTTTTTTTATAAAAAATTTATGACTATGATGGCAAAAATGGTTACTTAATTTCACTGATTTAGTAAACTTTTATTTTATATATAAACCTAGTAATATATTACTAGACATCCCTTGTCTAATTGAAGTAGAATATTCTGTAACCATGGAAACGTGATTTTAGCTGTGTCTTTAAAACCCAGTAATTTTTAAAAGTTACTCCAAAATTCGCTTGAAGATGAAATAGAACAAATGCTTTTAATTTAATTGCAAAATTAAATTCGGGGTTTTTAGCTTCTATTTTTGAAACATGGTTAGAACTGTGTAGTGGAAAAAAACATATTTTAAGTCAATTAATTTATAATATTAATGCTCTGTAAATTTACATTGAGCACTATTTTGTAAAAATAAAAATATCTATAAGAACACCGGATTATATATCTTACTGTTCTTTCTTTTTATTTATATATATATATATATATATATATATATATTTCATGCACATTTCATTGAATACAATGGATAAGGTGCTTTTATTTAGTTTTTTATACAATTTGTCATGCAATCTAATAATGTTTTTCTTTTCAGATGATAAATTAAATAAAAACTGTCCGAATGTTCTTTTTATCCGAGTGCTTTTGGCTATACATTTAGCCATTTTCAAGGATTAAATATTTCAACTGTTAAATAAGAAAGCACTCGGATAAAAAGAACATTCAGACAGTTTTTATATAATATGTCGTATTCAATGAAATGTGCATGAAAGAAGGATTGCTGCCTAAATACACAAATATATATATATATATATATGTGTGTGTGTGTGTGTGTGTGTGCACACACACACAAAAAGACACTGGCCAAAAGCATCAACAAATATTTCTGTTATATCCAGAGATCCTCACTGTTGCACAATATGTGGACTTGTATGCAGGTCACTAGCAGGACTGCAGTGTCACATATGATACAAATATAAAAACTGAATGAGGTTGTTGGATCCCCATACATTGAAATTGACGGGAGAGTCCACCATATTTATATATGTTATAAATTTTAGTTATGTGTGAAATGATTTGTTGAAATGCTGCCTATAGAAAACCACTATAAACTTCAGTTTCAACCCAATGCAATATTTTAAAATCATTTTTTTTTTTTAATGAAGAGATTTTTTTCTGTCTCAGCATAAGTTTTCCTAATATTGTTTGTAGGTTCTACAAGTGAATCATGTGAAATTTTCATTAACATATATTTTGCATCAAATCAAAGTCATGATTAAGAAACCATCTCTTTATAATTGTGTTGCAATTTTATGCAAACTTGTTGCTTAAACACATGCATGCTTGACATACCAATGCAATAAGTAATAGAAAACAATTTACAAATAAAACATTGCAAATTATGCAGATAAGATAGAAAATAGAAAAATAATGAAAACTGACCTTGACAAGAGGCGCCATTAAACCAGCTGGAAGTTCATAATAAGGAACCGAAGGTGTCAAGTCCATTTCTGTAGGTAATGGTATTGGTGGTGGAGCCTGTGGGAAGCCTGGAGGAGGCTTACTAAAATCAGGCATGGGTAGGGGACCAGCTGGAGGATGAGGGCCATTGGGGGGACCACTAAACTCCTGTGGAGGAGGTGGTAACATTCCTGAAAAGACATTTTTAAAGAGATAAATCAAATTTGTACTTTTATATTCACTTAAGTAGTAATAATGATATAGCATTACCAACACCTGTATATTGCCCAGCAGCTAATTTTTAATGTATAGTTTCATCCTTTTATAAGTATCCGCAACTTTAATATTGTCATACCTGAACATACCTATTCTATTATTAATAGACTCTCCCACACATAATAAGCAGTAGTAGTAGCGGTCGCCAGTTTGGGCTCAGTGGTGTTGAGTGAGTCAGTCAATGTCGGACATTGAAGTATCAACCATTACAACTAGATTGCTGCGTCATTAACTCTTATTTCAAGTTCCTAACGTTTTGTACGTCGAACCTAATTTAGGACGACTTAGTTGAAATACAAACCTCCACTGTGAAAACTACTCTACAACAAATATGTTCCAATAAAAGATGAAAGTAAGCTGCACTGTTAGAGAATATCAGTTTTAATAGTGCAATAATCAAGGTTGGATAAGTGAGATTATTGTTTATTATAATCCAATATTATATACAAATGAGCATAAATACATTATTTTATTATCATTTAATATTATATACAAAATAAGGCAAGTGGAAGTGATGGGTACCAGCTGTTGTCCTAAAGAAACATGCTCCCAAACTGGCCCCAGTTCTCTTCAAACTCTACAATTGTTGCCTTGCTACGTCCTGCTTTCCAGCTTGCTGGAAGTCCTCCTCTGTAGTAGTCCCTATTTTTAAGAACTCTGGAGAACCATCTAACACTTCTAACTATCACTCTATTAGTCTCCTACTGCTTTTTAGCATAGTATTCCAGACTTTAATCAATGCTGAAGTGGTTAAGCACCTTACCTCTCACACCTACTCTCTGACAAACAATACAGATTCTGTTTTGCATGTTCTACTAATGATGTGCTTATGGCCATCACTGAATATGTATATGAAGCTCTTGATAATAATGGCAAAGTTTGTGCTGTGGCTCTAGATATCACAAAGGCATTTGACAAGGTTTGGCATGTTGGTCTTCTATGTAAGCTATTACGGTATTACAGGATGGTTGTTTGATTTAATCCAATCATTCCTATCAAATTGTGAAATGAAGGTCGTCCTGAATGGGCTCACTTCCAGGCTTGCTTTCACATGAACATGGGTTTCCCCCTAGGCTCTATACTGGGTGCTATGTTGTTTCTGATTTCCATCAATGATCTTCCTGATATCATCAGTTCCTAAGTAAGCAGATGACACTACCATTTACTCCTGTTTCAATAGCAAATCTGTCAAAGCCAACAAAGTTAACCTGGCCGTTGATCTTGGTTAACTGGGGCAAGAAATGGCTTATAAATTTTAATACCTCCAAAACTGAACGGCCCTCATTTAGCCACCATAAAGAAACTTACTGCCCGCCATCAGCATGGCTAATTCTCAACTCCAGGAGAGCATCCCACTGCACCTTTTTGGCCTCATGTTTTCAACTAACTTGAAGTGGAACAACTACATTGAATTAATAACTGCATCTACTGCAAGGAAAGTTGGTTCATTGTGTCATGCCAGAAGGTTTTTCTCATCAAGGTCCATCTTGCACATTTAAAAATCTATCATTTGGCCATGCATTGAATACTGTTGCCATATCTGGTCTTGTGCCCTTGCTGTTCATCTTGAGGTTCTTGATGTTCAAAAAACGATCTACAATGTAATCGATCTTGACTTGGCATTTCAACTTCAGTCACATGTGACTTCCCTCTGCCTTTTCTACAAATATTTTCATGGCAACTGCTCTGATGAGCTTTTTTCCCTAGTGCCCCAACTATATGAATTTAAGTATGCTGCTAGCATGGCATGTAGGTCCCACGCTTTTACTGTTGAAATAGTTAAATGTAACTGCCACTTATACTCCAACAGTTTCTTTTCTTGCACTTCATGATAGTGGAACTCTCTTCTGCTTACTTGCTTCACTGATAACTACAATCTTCAAAACTTCGAATACAATGTCAACTGCCATCTTCTGCTGACTTGATCCCCATTCATCTTTTATCCTTTCCTCAATTACCCCTATACCCAGTCTTTTCTCTCACTTTCACTCTCTGTAACTCCCTGTGTACTAGTGGCACTCTCACCTTACTTGGGGGTGAAATGAAAAAAAAAAAGAAAAGAAAGAAAAATGCATATACATACATTTTATTATTATTATGCAATATTATATACAAATTCATATACATACATTTTAAATCAATGTAAGTGTGGTTTTCTTTTTTTTGGTTAAGTATAAAAGTACTAAGTAACTTCCACCAAACTATATGAGCAACTCCATGCGCAGTGGTTCTAAGGAGTGAGGAGTTCAACTAAAGGATGGTGACTACAGCAAGTTTCAATTGACTACATGTTAAATCTGCACATGGGACTAAACTAGTAGCAATGACATGGCATCACTGGGCAGAGGGCTTCCTAGTGAAATCAATGACCATGTGTCTGTAACCAAAGCAAGCCTTCAAGATTGAGGACTTCAGTAGTAGTCTAACCTGGAGAGAAATGGGCTTCATGAGCTTCATGACCATATTCAACACAAGCTATGTATGAATGAATATTACTAGGTTTTCAACCCAAATATGTGGCAGGAACTGATCAGATGCTCAGCTGTACAGTGACCTTACAACCACACCCAGTCATGGGACTGATGATTATGATGAACTTCCACCATCTTGATTAGGAGATCAATTCAGTAAAGAACTTTTGTCATTTGTAGCTGCTACCATCAAACAATTTCAGGAAAAAAAATTAACTTTGAATACTTTCCAATTAAGATATAATCTATGAAAAGCTCACATAATGTAATTATAGAAAAAAGATTTATTGTCACTGATGATAACAGCCTTTGGTTAGACTAAAGATTTAGATTCTGTTTTCTCTTAGCATTTATAAGATGGAGTTAGTGGTAAAATGTCCAGAAACAATTTCACAGTTGATGAACTAACTGCTTCATCAGTTAGCGCTAATTTTTGAACAACACATTTTACCTAATGTTTCATATGATAATCATAAAACATTTTGTATATACTGACATATGGCCATTTGATTGGGTTAAATATAGAAATAATATCTCATACAATGATCAATATCAATTCCAGGGAAATCTTTCATGTGCTTTTGTAAGTAATTAAACTTTCTATAAATAGATTCAAGAATGCTTTTTTTTTTTCTTCTAATGCCATGTCCCTTCAGGGTGTAAATGATCATGACTCACTATAGATTCATTTTGCTTTTATTCTCCATGACTTACCATGGCTTCTTGGGAAAGGTAATGAAGTGGTTTTCCATTGCTTTCTTCATAGTTTGAATTCAGTTTTCCTTCTTCTAGAATGCCTACCACTCAAGGTTAGAGAGTCTAGTCTGCTCTTCAACTCAGAGGAAATGAGATGGATTCATGCCTTTCCCAAGAGTATTAGTGTGTAAGTGAACACAACAGACAAGGCTGAAATTGGAACTCAGCTCAGCGATATCCATTTCTACACTGATAAATGTTACACCACTTGCCATCCAGAACACAAGATTACATATAAAACAAAGATAAAGCATATTGAAAAAGAATGATGGAAGATAAACTGTAAAAACAGGATTAATGCAGGCAGAACAAAAATAATTAAAAAAAAAAATGTTTCAAGTTCCAGAAGTTGGTCATAGAATCAAGTTAGTAATTCATGTTATTTAACCTATCGATCACAAGATATGAAAGAAAAAAGTTTACTTACCATGACCATATTCAAACAGCTGGGGAGGAGGAGGGGGATGACCAGGACCTTGGTTAGGGCCAGGTCCTGGCCCAGGTCCTGGTATTGGAGGTCGACTATGGTAATTTGGTATAGGAGGACCAAATGGTGGAGGTGGGCCTCCAAAGTTTGGGGGACCAAAATTTGGAGGAGGTGGCCCACCAGCTCCTGACCCACCAGTACCACTGGACACATGAGCACCAGGTTGAGGCATGTTCGGTGGAGGACCCTGAGAGATAGAAAATGTGAGTTAAGTTAAAAAAACAAACAGAAAAAAAAACTTCATTTTTTTCCATTAATGAAGAAAGAGAACAATTTTTTTTTTTTTTTAGATATAATAACTATTTTAATATTTTTCTGTTTATACATTATTTTTATAGATACAAATATTTAAGTAAATGCTCTGTTTATAATAAACAGTATTAACTACATTTAACAGCCTGAATGTCCAAGAAATTTCATAAAAAATATGTTTCCTCCAATAGGAATTGAACCTGTATCCTAAACAGAACTATCATATAAGCCCGACATACTATACCATTTAGTTACAGACAAAGCGGCTGCTTAGCAAAGTCAAATTACTGTTTTTAAATAACAAATTTCCCATGATTTCTATGAAATTTCTCAGACAGAAAATATATTAAAATAATTGCTGGACTTAGTCCATTTCATAATATATGATGTCATATAATAACTATGTAACATTAAGAAAAAAAAATTTATTTTGGCAATTTAACATATGAGGGGGATGCTGAAAAGTTCTGATGTTTGCTCCTGTGGACAGCAGCACCTTTTATAAATCATATAGGGCCAAGCTAGATTTCTTTTCACATTGAAAAATGCATTGCTACTAATGAATCTGTTGACTAGATGATCAGCATTCTTAAAGTGCTGTAAACTTTAAAGGTACCAAGAAACCTTTATTAAGATACTGAATTCAGTAGATATATATAACTATTTTTAATAAATGATCTCTGAAAATATTAACAAAAAATTAAGATACTGGTTCAAATAAATTACTAAGTAGCAATAATTTCTGATTTGCATAAGATAAGCTTAGTCTGGCTTTAAACTTTGAAAATACTTTTGAAAAGCAAATGAATATAAATGTTAGATAAATGATAGAGAAGACTGTTTTCATCACCTGATTTGTAAATATTCTTCACCAGACTAAAGATGAGTATATTATAGAGCCAGACTTCTTCAACCAAGTCTGATATAAATTATATTATTGCATATTTTTGTTGCTATGAGCCAGTGTGTTTAGCCACATGAGTTTTCTATGTTTATTAATACAAATAACTAAAATATAATCAATTTTATGCCCTTCAGACCATTTGCTTTGTCTACAGAAAATAAATATAGACATGTGAGTATGTGTGAAAGAGAGGGCCCTTATAATGTATGACCTATACTTCAAAGATCAATTGTGCCAATTTGGTGATTTGTAACTTTTTTTTACTAAAATTTCACCTAATAGAAAGATCAAAAGCCATTACAGGTAGAGGTTTTCTAAAGAATTAAGTGCAGATTATGAGGATATGTAGGATAGATAATGGTTGATCCTAGACTTGAAGAGAGTAAGACAAGTAGTGTTCAGGGAAGTATGCTTTTGGGAGTCAGTTCCACAAAGCTATCTGAGAGGAACTTCCTTCTTACCAATAGAATATGAAGGGAATGAGGATTATTCAACTCTGTGTACATGGCATGGCATGCCCTAACTAAATGTCTGAACTAGTGGAATTAAGGAGTGTAGCTTATCTGTACATTTGCGATAAAGTATTGATAGGCTTACAATGTCTTTTTCTGTGGGAGAAGGGCTGTTGGGTTAAAAATAATTCATCGCTCACAAGGGTGCATCAATGCTTTTGAACTGTCAAGGATGGAAAGTGAGGATTGAGCAGCTTTAGCCCAGATGTGGCAACAATATTCCATTTGTGGTCTGATCTGACTTTTGTAAAGATAGAGCATGGCAGGAGGAGTCAGATACTTTCTGAACTTGCACAAAAAACTGAGCCGGCCGGGTATTGAACTCACACTCTTTGGGTCCTGTCACTGGATCTAACTAATGCCTTTATCCACTGTGTCATGTGTCCTTGAAATTTCATCTGGGTATGGATTTCTGGGTATTATAAACCTAATGTCTTCAGCAACCATTTTTTACCAGTGCTCATACTGCAATTTTTGCTGTTATCATTTTATATTTTTACCAGAGCTTATATTGCAATTTTTGTTGTTATTAACGCTTTTCTCTGGCACTCCTTATTACTGGTTCCCATATTGTATTCATTTCTATGCTTGGTCGGCTCAAATTTTTGTGGCCTAGCATATGTGCTGATTCCTTAAGTTTGCAAATTTTCCAATCATGTTTTTTGTCTAAGGGTGTGAGTTCAATACCTGGTTAAGGTGGTGGAGAACTTTGAGAGGGGACTTAACAGGAGATAAGTGATAACTGACATCCATTAGACATGGCATGCGGAACTAGAACAGTCTACCCTAGTGAGCGAAATAAAGGGTTCAGTTTGACATTCCAACCACCTGAAGAAGGCCGGAGCATACCTTGACCGATACGTTGTGATAAATATGGCGACAAAGATGAGGACAATAGTCTGAATAATGTAATTAGTGTACGTAATACCTCATCTCAGAAATATATATATATATATATATATATATATATAAAATTATATTTATAACATTTTGAAAAGTCAAAATTTCATTAAAATCTGTTGGAAAATTTCCAAGTGTTTACTTAACATCAAGAAAATATAAACTTTAAGCAAAATAGTCACAATATATAGGGGAGGGGAAGAAGTCAGTTTAAACTGATGCCAGGAGGATATGGGTTAATAGAAACAGTAAACTGCAATTATAACTAACAAAACTAGAATAACAAAAATCAAAAACATACCTGAGGAAATGGTCCAGCAGCACCTCTAGGAGGAGCTCCAGCTGCCATTCCTGGAGGAGGAACTCCTGGTGCCATTCCTTGTGGAGGCATTCCTTGGGGTGGCATGCCTTGTGGAGGCATACTCTGTGGGGGAGGTGGTCCTGTAGCTCCAGGCATGACAGGAGGTGGCTGTGAGGGACCCGGCCGAGAATTAGGAGGTGGCTGCTGTGGTGGCATCGTGATGTTGGCAATGCTAGTTGAAGGGGATATTCCCGTTGGAGTGATTCCTGGGGGAGCTGATGAAGCTGTGTTGTTGGGGAGATTTGGTGGCATTATTGGGGGAGCACCTTGCTGCTGTGGAACCTGAGAAACTGCTTGTTGTACTTGAGGGGGTACACCTTGCTGGGGTACACCTTGCTGGGGTGGGGCTGCAAGAGGAGCTCCTGCCAGCACCCCTGATGGCTGGACGGATTGCGGAACCTGATTCTCTCGCCCACCAGGACCTTAAAAAAAGAAGAAAAAAATTAGAAACATAATTATATAATAAATTAGAGTTTTGAAATCAATGTAAATTCTTTGAATTAATTTTACAAGATAGATTTTATTTCTTTAAAATAATAAATTATGATATTGATTTCACAACTGGTTCTGCTCTGTTGGTTAGGCCAAAAATATATTAACAATATCTCTGTGTAGAGGGGTAAACTTCAACTGTTTTTTTTTGTTTTTTTTTACTTTTGCTCAAACTAAATTCATGTCTACTTTTTTTTTTTTTTTTTTTTTAAACTCTGGGACAATGAAAATCTATTTCTACTTTTTTGACTCCAGGGCAAAAAAAATCTATTTCTGCCTTTTTTGACTCTTGGGCAAACCAAAGCTATCTATCATTAAATAACCTAGAAAATGGTGATATACCATAAAACCAAACCAAACTGTTTAGGTTGAATAGTAAAAGTAATCATCAAATCAAAATACTAAACATTCTATCAAGTACCAGATTAACAATAATGTGTTTAACTACAACCTGGTGAGTTATTTGAAAATTCCAAAAATAACCATCATATTAAAAAGCCACTCTCCTCTTAAAAAGTAAACTTCTGTTGTGTTGAAGGGTCAGCATTTGCTTAGACAAGGGAATGCAGAACATAAGCCTGTCTTTATTTTTGAAAAAAGGCAATAGTTAAACAACATAGCTGTGCACATATACAAAAAGAACACACACACACAACTGTGAGGTTTTAGCCAGTCTGATTCTCAATTAGATATTAATCAAAAACAGGTTTTGCTAAATGTATAATATTGTTCAGTGATAAAACATTGAACAAGTAATTGAAACATATTTTTTGTTATTACATATCAAGTTGGTGAAATTTGTCAGCCCAGCTCCTTTAGTCTGCTCTCATAGGGATCAAATAGATATTTGTACAATCTTCAATATCTATGAGCACCAAGCCAGTTAAGATAGTTTAATAGTGGACTGATTATCATAACCCATTGGCCAAGTTTTAAAAGAGAAATTTACTTAAGGCTGTCCTCATTGAAGGAAACAGGTATACACACAGCTCTATAATATTATACATATGCTTACAACCATTAAACAACTCTATCTATAAACAAATAGTTAGTGAATAATGCTAGCAAGAACAAACCTCTGCATGAGTTGTGAAACAATCCTGAAAAATGATTTATAAAAAGAAAATATTTTCTGTTGGTTCAATACAAACAGAAAAAATTTTCTTTGCAAAATATTTTGCACTAAAAAAATCAGATCTTAACATCTCATATATAAGAAGCAAGATTAAAATTAGTAGAAACCTAATTCCTTATCCTACTTTGAAAATGGTCAAAATCAAGGCCAATTATAGCCAATCTTGATACAAATGCATGAAAGCTAACCCATAATTCTGCAGGACACCACTATCACATGCCCGAGGAAACCTGTATTTGATTAACAAGTCTTATCAAAATGCCATTCAGCTCATCTCGCTTAGGCCAGAGCCAAGCAACTGAGTTGCTCAGATAATATGAAATAAATGCATTGCTATTGGCAGTAAATATCTTGCAAATTTATCAGAGGCAACCAACTGGATGTAGACAGAAATGGCGGAAAATAAATTAATGATAAGTGACCTAAAAAGAAAAATTTAAGAACTAATAGAAGATGGTTGTAAGTTATATTAATGATATTAAAAGTACTCTAAAATAGAATGCATTCATTTATGTTATTATAAAAATCATGTTTCTTTGCAATGTGTTGTCTTTACTGGGCATGCATGCATATATATATATATATATATATATATATATATATTTTAGGGTGAGCTACACCAATTTTAGGATGGCAGGTGGTTGAATAAGTACACCAATAAGTATTACTTATTCATAGATGCAACAAAGCATGTGACCAAAAAAGAATTTTGAATGGAAATGAATTTTTAAACAGACATCAGAAATTAAAATCAAATGAACCACATTTCAAATATACTTTTTCATAATTGATTTCACAAAACTTAGTGTTTGTGGTTAATTTTCAAGACACTGTGAAATGTTGGTCCCTGGCAATTGTGTTATAAACTAACTCTTACTTTCTGCTATTTCCCAACCAGTGTGAACATATAGCATACAATACAACTTGTTATGTAACATATTTTTATTGTGTTAGGAGTGTCATTTAACTTAGTCTGTATTGTAGAGTGCCTGATCAAAACCAAAATGCCAGCACCCATGAGAAATTATCATCAGCATCTGTATAGTCATTTATTTCCATTAAATGGCAATTTCCTATTTGTCATTTTTTCCAAATGGGGCAGCCCTTCCAGGCAAAAATATTATAACAATGCAGCAGTGAAAGTGTTAATCTTACAATAAAAGGAAGGTAATGAACATAAAGTCAATGAAGTAGAGTCTGAGATTGTTGCATTAAAATATTTTTTTCTTTTAGTGTTCCAAATGCATTAAATGTCAAGATATAAGTAAAATGAATTGCTTAAATGCATATTTTGGCATAATGGTATTTTTGAATCAAAGCATTTGGCCTTATTTTCTTTTATATTGAGAAGAATATTTAAACTATAATTAACCTTTGTCCCCTTTTCCAAGTCTCTAGACCAAAGAGCTGGAGGAATGTTTTCTTTTCTAAGATGACAACTGGAGAAAGAAGATACACAACTGGTTAGCTAGGAATGCGAGAAAGAGTGAGAACACATAGATATACTCAGTAATAAGTTGATTTTAGATGTCTTCTAAAAAAAGATCAAGGTGTTAATATAGTACAACACAAAGAAAAATGATAATTCAGTACCAGTCTGTGGAGGAGGGCCTCCTCCCTGCTGCAGCAGCTGTAATTGCTGTTGCCTTTGTTGCAGTTGAATGTTTAGATGAGATGCAAAGTCCTGATGTTGTTTCTGAAGTTGGGCATATTGGGCCTGAATGGCTGCAGTGATTTGAGTCACGATGCTGCCATATTCGGTGATCAGGTTTGCCTAAAAGATGAAACACAAGAAAAATGTAAAGGGTAAGAAATAAAAAAAAAGAAAGAAAATTGAAACATAGCTTGTATCTTCATGCAAAAGGAAGAGATTATTACTTTGAAGATTTACAGATGGCTGGGTAAATGACAACATGCAGTCACCTGAATTTTGGCAAGGAACTGAAGTTTAAGATGTAGGCTTGATTCTGGATCATATAAATAACTACTAAGTTAAAAGTCTACAGGAAATTTATTTCCCAAGTTAGATAAGTCAATATAAGACCAATACAGCACAGTGTAGATTCACTGTTGTTCTGTTAAGTTCATTCTCAACAAGAAACTATGATCACAGTGTTTTCAGATTGAATTTCTGACATGAGTAACACAACCACAACTTTGCTATCTTATACAGACAAAAACAGATATGGATTCTACCTATTAGCAAGGTTAATTGGCATTACCCTGGTTAAAGCAACTTTCTCTCTTTTTTTTCTTCTTTTTTTTTTTAAATCAATTCACCTCAAGAAAGGTAATAATGCCACTAAAACACAAGACGCTACTGGGAGTGAAATAGAATGAACCTCTACTCTTGTTCAAAAAAATGGGAAGGAGTGTGAACCAGATGATAGATGAACCTATCTAGACCTATTAAGGAAAGAAAAATAAGCAGTAAATAAAATTTCAGAGTTTAGACAGAGACATTATAAGTATAGAGTTGAAGGAATTGGAAACTCAATCCCAGGGATAAAGCTCTACTGTTCAAAAGACTGAGGAAGAGTGTTAACTAGATGATAGGTAAATCTATTTTTTAGCTTAACTTGAAACTTTATTGGCAAATATTTTATTCTAGCCTTATATATATATATATATATATATATATATATATATATATATATATATATATATATATATATATATATGTATATTTATATACACTTTTTCACACACATACACACACACACACATATATGTGTGTGTGTGTGTGTGTGTATATAGATAGATAGATAGATAATTAAAATAATTTTTTGTTGTATGGATAATTTTGTCTTTGCCAAATGTGCTTATTATTTTATTGTATTGAATAAAATATTTCTGAAATGGATTGAGTATTTGCTATGAGCCTAACATCATATTCTATTTCATATATATATGTGTGTGTGTAATACTGAAAAAGTTAATGGTCAGAGTTGGATTAGACCAGGAAACAGTATTATTAAAAAGTGCTCAATACATGCGTGAAAAATAAAAATTTAACATATATAGAGCTTTTAAATTTAAAAATTAAGAGATCAATCAATTCCACTACCTTGGTTTCAACCTTTTGGTATCATCAGGTGGTTTAACTTCCCAATGCTTAATTTTTAAAAAATTATTAATGAACACTTTATTATTTAAAAACAAAAAAAAATAAACAAACACACAACATTGGACATGATAGGAAGGGAGGAGCAGGATGAGAAGAAAAAGGAAGAGGAGGAAAGAAAGGGTATTTTAAATGTATTGGTGGGGGTTTGAATGTAATGGTGAAATTTTTTTCCAGCCTTATATGAAATTAACAGGAATTTTTTTTTGTATGGATACAACAGTTCATAATTTCAGAACTTTGTTTCAAAAATTTTTCTGGATCTGGAACTGTCATTATTGCTAATTTTTCTTGTTGGCAGAGGTTGCAGATGTTATGATGGTTGTTGTAAGGTTTTGCTTTTTTTTTATTTTTTTTTTTTTTAAATTTTCCAGTTTATAATTGGATCTTTGTTGCTTTTTTCTTTTAATTTCCACACATGGTTAGCTAGTTAAAAGAAATGTGGAAATTAAAAGAAAAAACAACAAAGATCCAATTATAAACTGGAAAATTTTAAATTATGAACTGTTGCATTCATACAAAAAAAATTCCTCTTAAGTTCATATGAGGCTGGATAAAAAAATATGTACATTTTAATTACCGCCCCCATACATTTACAACACCCCTTCTTTCCTCCTTCTCGCGCTTCTTCTTCACATCCTCCTCCTCCTCTCTTTCTTTTATACCTAATATCGTGCGTTTGTTTATTTATTTTAAAATAATAAAGTGTTCATTAATAATGTTTTTTAAATAAAGCATTGGGAAATTAATTGATGCAAACTGCCTGATGATACTAAAAGGTTGAAACCAAAGTAGTGGAATCAACTGATCTCCTAATTTTATATATGTGTGTGTGTGTGTGTGTGTATATACATATATATATATATATATATGTGTACACACACACATACATTACAGTTCAAAAGTTTGAGGACACCCCTGCTAATTTTTTAAATTGGCCCAAAATGTAATTGCTTTGTACTTTAAATAAGAGAAAATTATTATACATGGTCAAAAAAAAAAAAAACTGACAAATTTTTTATTAGAAATTTTATTATGACGAAAAGAAAAAAAAAACATTTTATGATTTAAATTTTGGTCTCATCCTTTAGCCTTGATTACTGCAGCACAAATTTTTGTCATTCATTGCAAAAGTTTCTCAAAGTTTGATAATTGATTCCATTCTTTTTTTAATGACTAAGAGCTCTTTTTCATCTTTTGTCAAGTTCATCCTATTCTAATTCTGGAGGTGGCTTCAAACTTTGAACTGTGTGTGTATGCATGTATATATATATATATATATATATACATACACACACACACACACACATGCGCACCCAGGGTGATTGAAAAGTAACTCCTTAAGTCAGGAATCCAATCAGGATTGTGACTTTTTTCTTTGGGGTTGGTTAAAAGTGCAAGTCTACTATACCAAACCAAGATTTGGAAGAACTTGAAGGGTGAATACAAGAAGTTATGTCTTCCATATCCCAAGAGTTCCTGGTGATTCCTGAGTGGCTCGAGTAACTGGTAGTGAAATCTGGCAGCCATATTGAGTTTGAAATAAAACTTCATGCTAAACACTTTCCTCTCATATCCATTTCTTGTAAAAATTATAGTTAATACAATAATTTATAAGCATTTTAAAATGAGGAGTTACTTTTCAATCACCCTATATATATATGTGTGTGTCTGGATAAACATGTTTCAATATAAAAATAATTAATTATTTTAAATGATACTGAATATAATTTTGCACCTCACTCTACATATATACTCTAGAATTTGTCTTACAATCTATACAAAATTACAACATGAGCATCTGTACTTCTAATCAGTCTGCTTTACTGAATAGTTATAATCCCCTGTACTAATTTGTCTGTATTGCTGCTGCTAATGAGGCTTGGGGGAATTGCATATGATAATTTAGTTCCTCGCATTGCAATAATTTCTCTTAATGTAAGATAAACCAACATAATTTAACCTCATGCACCTCAATTAATCAACATTACCATTCATTTAATAAAGTACTGAACATTTATTGTTTTGAAGTTTGGAAGATGTGCACTGTTTGGTATGTGGTTTCTTGTTCTTTACTGTCAAGCAACATTTACAAAAAACAAAGCATTTTTTATAATTCAGTGTAATTAACATAATAAAACAATATAGTTTGTTCTAAACAAATGATTCTGAACTTGGATGGTAACATCCTCTTGAAGATGCAAATGAATTCTCAAGAGAGCAGTAAGTGTTCAGATATGTTGGAGGAGAAATAATTATAACAAGACAGTAAAATGGTTTAACCCTTTGAACACTGGGCCAAGTCACAACATTTTACAAGTTCAACTGTTCATCTTTTTGCCTACATTTTTAAAGGTCAGTTCTTTGAAATTTCTGGTGTTTGGTGCTGCTCTAATGTTACACACCATAAACATGTGACATTAGTTCTATTTACTGGTACAATTTGAACATAGGGGCCACAAACCTGTGCAAATATTTAAAAAAAAGGATGCTGGGAAAGAAAATGGTTAAGAATCACACTTCTAAACTTACCTGATAGTTAGCTACTGAGTCTACAGGGTTTTTTAGTTTCTGTAATGAGAAATAAATATTATTTAGTAATAACATAAAAAGGTATTTAAAAAAAAAATAAGATTGGCTTCAGCGTGAAAGAAAAATAGTATGTATATCAGCCATATCAGAGGCAGTGGTATAAAATAACAGTCACAAGATATGGGGTTTTTTGATCCAAATAGATCATGTCATTGAAGCATGAAGACCTGGCCTTGTTATAGATAAAGAAAGTAAAAAGTGTCCAATTATTGATTTTGCTATAGATTCCAAGGAAATTGAAAAGATTGAAAAATACCAGAATCTGGCTAGGACATGGCTGCTGAAGTAATTCCTGTAATAATTGGTGCACTTGGAACAACATCTTGAAAGAGAGCTTAGGGAAAAATGGAATTGAGACTAAGATTGTAGACCTCCAGAAAACTATCATTCTTTGCACTGTGAGGATTCTCCAAAAAGTTCTTGTGAGGAAGTCTTGTTGACTCAATGCCTCAAGAACAGAATTCCCATTTACATCAATGTGCAACACCAACATAATAATAATAGTAGTAATAGTAATGGTAATTATTGTAATAGTAAAATGAAGCAACTATAATCCTACTAAAAAAATGTAAGGTGCAAGAATTTCTATGGATTTTAATTCATCTTGGGTTTTGGCCCCTTTGAAAATGCAGGTGAGAAGGAAAAATTGATGTTATCATTAATATGTCCTGAAAAATGAAAATTACTTTCAAAGTAAGTCATCAATCAGTCAGTATTTGTAAAGTTAGTATTTTTTAAAAGCAAATTACTACAGAAAGGAACTAACTACATGCAACAGTTTCATTCTAATCTTCATTGTCATATTCGATATTAATTTTCTTTGCTGACACAAGTGATCTTCTATGATGATTTATGCCACATGTTTAGAGCAATTAGCAGAAAGGGTGAATTAGTGAAGGGATTTTGAGAAGTTCTTGTCCCAATTCAATTCCCAAAATCTGGCTAAATGGAATGGTGCTTCTTAGCACCCATCACAGATGCTCTTTTTGCCAACAACTCTTTAAAGATTGGAACACATATGGCAGACCATGGGATAAAGAAATGGATTTGAACACTACTTTTCAAATAATTGTGAATGGTTTTAATGTTTGTATGAAATTTATTAATCTTGTTAAGATGAACTTCTCAGGGCAAGATGTTCAGCAACCTTTAAAAGTGGTATTTACTAAGCTTAGCTTAGACTGACACAATAACTCAATTCTCTAAGACTTCAAAAGGTAGCTAATAAATGCTACTTTTTCTAATATTAAAATTTATTTCAACAGAGAATACAATGATTTCTATATTTTACTATTTATTTAGATTTGCTAAATAGTGATGCCAACAATTGGCATTGTTAAAGAAAAATAACTGATAAGAGTCACACTTCAAAATAGATGGATTGAGAACTATACAACTTTGAAAATGAAAACAAAATTCAAAAATTCAATGAAAAGCTCGTAATGAAGAAAGGTTATCACAACAATACACTAAACCAATTTCAACATATATGACTAATTTGATGGATTCTCAAATAATTAATTCAACCAACTTCAATTTTAGGGAGCCATTTAAATGTTTTCTTTTTTTTCACTTTAACAGTTCCTATAATAAATATACAGTTCTACTTGCACTTATATTCTTTACTATAGTAGATAATATTCATCTATTTAGAAAATAAGACCTAAAAATATTATGTTTTAAAATTAGAGGTAATATTAATTACAATGGAATGAGAATAATTTATCTTCTGCTTATGCCCATTTCAATGAAGATTGTCCATCTGAATGGATTCATGACATTCTGGATAAAGGAAAGCAATAAACAAATATAGTGATGTTTTCTTACCTCAATCGTTTCTGTATCAAAATATTTATTAGATTCCCAAAGGTTCAATAACTGAAAAGATACAAAAATATTTCTGTTTATGAATAAATCAAATATTGATGAAAATTTTCTAAACAGCAAATATACACAGCCTCTGAATGAGTTGACATGCCTCAATATTAGTATAAAACAGTCAAACTAAAAGAAAAAAAAACTTAATACTTTTAGAAACCATGATTATATTTTTCTTATCTTTAATCTAAACAGAAACAAGCATCCTTTTTTCCACTGCCTTTAGGTAAATACTTAATATATTAAAATGATAATGTTTTCACTAACATGAAAGTATTTTAATGACTTGCATATAAATTCACAGAATCTAATATCTCAAGTTAAAGTAAAAAGGTCTGTGACTTGATTAAAACTTGTCCAGGAAAAGTTTAGTAAAATCACTTCACTGTATAGCAGTAGGTAGCAATCCAGTCCCAACAGACCATTACTTAGCTTAGTAAATACATAGAAGTCTTTTCATGCAAAAATTGCATACAATTTTTTGAAAAATCTCTAATACCATAATGTTATGAATATCTATAGTGTAAATATCAAACCACTTAATATAGATCTACTAATGAAAAAACTGGTACACATTAACTGACATTTACAAACGAATGTTACTTGTAAGCAGAAACAATATCTCAGCAAAATATATATATATTTTTTTAATGTTTCACACCAAACAAGGTGGGAAGACACTAGCACACAAGGGGTTACAAAGAGTTGGAGCTAGAGCAAATAGGAGTGATAGAGGAAAGGATGAAGAGAAGGATAGGGGATAGATCAGGGCATCTGGAGATGTCGATTGACATTACATTTGAATAGATGGAGATTATAGCTATCAGTGAAACAGGAAAAGGAGAGGGAGTTCCACAGGTGAAAGGTGTGAGACATGAACCTATTGGAGTAGAAGAGAAGGCTACATTTAACAGTTTCGATAGTGAAAGGGTGTGAGTAAGATGCCAGCCTAGTAGAATGCTTAAATTCATGAAGTTTGGGAACCAGCAAAAGCAGCTCCTTGGAGCAGTTACCATGAAAGTATTTGTAAAAAAGACAGAGGGAGGCGACGGCACGTCTGTGAGAGAGCAACTGGAGACGAGATGCCAGATCAGGGTCAATTACATTGCATATCCGCCTCTGGATCTTATCAAGAACCTTGAGACAAACATAAGGGGCACCAGACCATATATGGCAGCAATACTCCATGTAAGGGTGAATGGCTGATTTGTAGATTTGAAGGATAGACTCCAGCAAGAAAAATTTTTTGGCACGGTACAGGGAGCCAACTTTCCTTGTGGTGGACAAAGCTATTGACTCAATGTATTTGTTCCATCTCAGGTCAGCAGTCAATGTGTGGCCGAGTAGTCACAAAATAGAGCTCTCGAAAATATACTTACAAAAACATGATTGTGTATATTTGAAGTTTTCATTTAAGACATTGATGTCCTAATTCTATCTAAACTTTTAAATGATTCATATATTGCTCAGATTTCTCATATGTGTTTTGGAAAACTGAATTATTTTAAGATTCTAGCAAAATTTAACCACTGAGCTTATTGTATTCAGGGAATAAATTAAAGAGAATCATTTTCTAAGCATGAGATTTACAGCTAAAATCAATCTTACTCTCAATGGACTTTATTAAAAATGATTTGGATTGAATTTTGGAAAGGCTTAGGTTAATTAATTCCCTTAATTTGTAAGTTTTTATGTACAAGTTCATCTATGAACAACTTCTTAGATATAATAACTCTTTTATTACATTCAAATTTAACCTCATCATTTCAAAGTAAAATTGTACAGTTTTTAATTATTTCTCCTATTGATGCTTTTATTAATTTTGCTAATAATAGTTTAATTAATGATAAAACTATTTCTTAACTTCCTTGAAGACATTACTTTATCTTAATGTGTGCAACTTATTCCCAGTTTAGTAGCATAGCCAACAGATAAAAGCAGATAATTTCAAAATAACTATAAGAGATTTACAAATTTCATGAAGAATTTTTCTTGAGCTTTAAGAAAAGCACAGACAAAATGATTTTTAATATTCATATGGTTAGACAGTGACTTTAATATCTAAGTAAATAAATGGAGGAAAGTTATTTGTAACAGTGAATAACCAAAATCTTATATACCCTTTTTTCATTAAATTTTATAGCAGTAACTTATACCCTTCCATTTAAAATTTTTTTTTTATAATTCCACATCAGTCTAGTTGTTAGGAAAAAAAAACGAGTTAACATATAGCTATTTATGTAATAGATGAGGTCTGTCCCAAAAGTATATGAACATTTAATATTAATGAAAAATAGCCATAGGTCAATGGCAACTTAGTCCTTTTGAAAGTACTTCCTTTTGGATTTCACATATTTACCCCAGCATCTCCATTCAATTTTCAAACTAGTTTTCAAAGTCCTTGTTTTGAATTGTCATGGGTTTCCACATCACATTCCCTTTAATCTCATCTATGGTATTGCAATAGTGATTTTAGCTTTTGAAAAAGCTAAAAAATCTCAAGAAACCAAATTATCTTGCAGCTTTGGGCCAAATAAATGTCTGACTTAGAATCTTGTCCTAGGCAATGTATGGTTATCTTGCCAGTAAAGTATAAGATTTTGAACTCAGTGGAGAGTGATTTTGTTTTTTTTTTACAGTGAGGTCAAATTTCTCAGACATTCAGGCCAGTAATAACAGTTTATATATACATTTTTAATGAAAAAAAAAAAATGGCAAAAAGTGAAAAATTTTTGTATGATGCGTTTTATCATTTAGGACTTTGTTGGAATAAGTGATGTTTACATAGATGCAACTACACCTGCACATGAAGGGAAGGCAATCTTAAGAATTTTAAATTATAATTTTTTTTTAAATAGATGTTTTGGGTCTAGAATCTAGCCAATTTTTTTTAGATTCTTTTTGTTCATGTTTTCATCCTTTTTGTTATTAAATATCCCACATTCTGATAATCTGCCACCAAACCTTTTTCATATTTTTCATAGTTTTTTCCCCCTAAAATTGTTCTTGATATATAAAAGTTTATATATTGTTTTATACACACACACACACACACATACATGTGTGTGTGTGTGTATGTATAAGTGAGTGAGTGTATGTGCACACACAATCAGAAAGAGTTGAAATCTCTGAGAATGAGGGAAGAATACCTAGAGAATTTAACACTTTACATGACATCTTGAAGGCAAGAGAAGTTGAAGTGAGAGAAACAGCAAATAACCTACTTAAGGAGAATGGATGGAAGAGAGAGCGATGGTAAAGAGTGAAAAGGTAATTAGAGGAAGTTGTGGAGAGCCATGATCAATCTTAACCTGAAAGGATTTGGCAAATAAAAGTGTTCTCTCCATTGCACTTACTAAGTGGTAGTGTCTTTGTCATAAAATTGGTGGACTGTTAAAAATGTTTATGAATCCAAAAGGTTTAAAAAAAAAAAAAAAAAAAACTCCATGAAAAAACAAAAACAAAGTACAACAAGAATAATAGGAAAAATATATTTAAAGACACAGGTGAAAATGTAATATTAAGAATATGAGAAAATATCACATTATATATGTGTGCATGTGTGTGTGCGCACGTGCCATCATTTCTGACAACATGTTTAAACTAGCTAAATTATTATATAGAAAAGGCTTAACAAGGGTTTTCACAAACATAGGCCATTTTCAGAACTCCAATGACAATAGTCATGATAACAAAGGGAATTTTACAGGCTCATTGAGCCTCTACCTGATTATAAGATGATGAAGTTAATTAACACTTGTAGTTTTAGTTCAATTAATGGTGAGTGTGCTGATAATGAGAGTTCTATGCCAACTATTGGGTGTGACTTTTCAAAAGTAACTTTGATTTAAAACTTGCATAATCAGCAGTTTTTTTCCAGGCTGTCAAAGATCCATAAGCTTTGCTGGTAAAGCAGCTTGAATAATAATTACATAATGACAATAATTGTTGAGATTAGGCAGAGCTATTTGAAGCCTTATTCGAAAGATGTTAGCAAATAATATGATTATACTTTTGAAGTCAGAATTGCTGATCAGCCTTGGTCAGTATTAGTTATTTCAAATTTTATTGGAAAGGTTTCAGCTCATTTGTGTCCCAACCAACTTACCTTGGTGAGTTTTTGTTTTTTATCTTCTGTAAAATGAACACTTGCCGTGCAAAATGCAGGAACGACAATTCCTTCCAAATGGGTTTTTAATTCATCAGCATTTTTCCTTTGGCTGAAAATACAAGTGATGCAATCATTAAAAATCCACAATTATTTATGAGATAAAAGATAAAAATAGCAATATTTTTCACCTTTCTTACAAAAATACATTTTAATAATGAAAGAGAATACAGTATTCAATGAAGAACTGAAAAGTTCTTAAAAAAAAAAAAAATCTGATGTCTAATCACTTAAGTCAAATTTTTTGAAGTGACTAGAGCCAAAAACTTTTCAGTATCCTCTGTACATATTACATTTGGTAGGAGTACAATGGAAAATATATAAACAAGATTCATAATTAAAATTGACAGAAAGGAATACAAAATAAAGTTCATAAAATCAATAAAAATTCCTACATTGCAAAGAGAAAAATAAGATTTTTCATGAAAATACATAATAAAATAAAACCATGATTGTAGTTTCAGTTTTTTTTTGTTTTTTTACAGTAATGTTCATTCTGTACAAGGCCCAAGAGTTACTCGAGGTAGAGGGTTACAGAGTAAGAGGTAAGAGACACAGTTTATGAGAATATGTGGGAAAGATAATGGTTAACCCAAGAGTTGAACAGGTTAGGATTGTAGTGATCGAAGAAGTGTCCTCTTAGGAGTCAGTTCCATAAAGTAGCAGTTCATAGAAAGAAGTTGTTGAAGTGGAATTTACATTTCACCAATAGAATACAAAGGGAATAAGGGTGGTTCACTACAATTTCTATGCTAACATTTTCTTGTATTGTACTTCTCACTTGTGGAACTCTCTTCCAGTTTCTTGCTTCCCAGTCAACTTTGATCTTCAAAAATTTAAATTTAATGTTAATCCTTACCTTCTGTCTTCTTAATTCCTATTCTTTTATTGTCTTCTCCTCTTAATAATAGTTTTTCTCATATTCTCTAACACTCAGTAACCTCTTGTGTCCTAGTGACTTTACTGTCATTAAAAAATAAAAAATGCCTTGAGCCTTAGTAGTGAAATTTAGAACTGGTAGAACTACAGGATGTAGTTCACCTGAATACTTTTCATAGAAATAGTGGTAGAGTAGCAAGAGGCTTGCAATGCTTTATCTGTGAGAAAGGGGTTGTAAGCTAGAAAAAATTCATCACCCACAAGGCTGCATAGATGTTTTTGAACTCTATTGATACTAGAAAGTGAAGACTATTCAGCTCCTGTTGATATATGACAATAGTACTCTATTTTTTACCTGATCTGTCTCTTGTAAAGGTATAGGGTAGCAGGAGAGGTAGACTACAAAGAAATGACCCTATCTCCAGCATCTATAGCAACGGATCATATATACGAATTCCACTTGAGGTCTGGGGTGAAGTTTAAGCCCCAATAAGTGTTCAAGGCATAGGGCCTCTCTGAGAGAACACATGTTCATTATGATAGATGAAAATTCAAGGCCCACTCATGGATGATTGAATGTCATTAGTTTGGTTTTCAAGGCATTGTATGTGATCAACCTATTTTTCCCCTACTAAGCTATTACTGTTAGGTCAGAGAAGAGATCAGCTGCCAATCTCTGGTCATCTAGGGTTTTGGAGGTGCACCCGTATACCACTGGATCATCAGCATAGATATTTATAAAAGATCAGAGTATACTCTTAGGCATATTATTTATGTAAAGTAGAAAAAGAGCTAGACCTAGAAGCGACCCTTCGGAGATGCCTGCATTAATCACTTGAGCTTTGCAGGACTGGCCATTAGTAACTACCTTCACTTTGCTTTGTAACCATCTAATGTAGTACTCAGTGGCAAAGCTAATCATGACCCCCACCCCACAAAAAAAAGAACATTGAAACTCAAAGCATTGATATTTACAAAAGTTTCTTGAATGTTTTATTTGTACAATTGATTAAAATCTATACAACTTTTATTTTCAATATAATCAATGACATTTCTTGAAATAATTATATTGGTTCATACACATGAACTCCCTAAATTGTTTAAATTTAATTGTTAGAAGAATCTTAAAATTAAGCAAACATCCATAAATTTTTGCAACTTCTAGTGTAATTAATGTAGCTTATTAGTTTTCCTTTTTTTTTAAAATTGTTCTTCAATTCTCTTATGAAAAGTTAAGGCTTTTTTATATCAGTATATTCTTAAATATTTTACATATGCTTTTGTTAGATGAATGGCTAATTTTAATATCCATAGCAAAATATCTGCTTATCTTTAGACCTGGCAATAATAAACCATGCTTCTTACAATTTTTTATCCACTGACCTTTACTAGGGTCATTTATCCCTCTTCCCCTCCCCCTCCACAAAGACCCTTAGCAAAGAACAACAGACTCTTCAGCTTTTGATATTTACACAGGTGGTGGTATGCTTCTTAAAAGAAAAACAAGTGAATAGGGAAGAGATGGAAACAGGCAGATCAAACTCAGATAGAGAAAGAAACTGACATGACAGGAAAAATTAACTCCATTCTGGCTACCAGTAATGTGCTTAGCTATTTCAGGTATCTCACTTAGGCTACACTCATCAATATGTCAGCACCTGAAAATACCTAGAAATAAAATTGCTTTCCATTTTTGATCTGTAATAATGTAATCAATATTCATGGCTTTAAATTAAGAGGTATGCAAATTCCTCCAGCCAAACACACCTCAATTAGTATTACTATTTTTTTTCCAAGTGGACAATCAAGTTAGGACCAATTGTGTTACAACAGCCCGGGATTTTCATAAGATCATACAGATTTTTTATTCGTAAACTACAATTTATTAGCTAAAATTCATATGGTCAAGAGCTAATATTTGGTGTTTATAGGTGATGTTTTTATAATTTTTAATTTAAAAATAATTAAAAGCAATGACTATTGCTTTTGAGCTGGTATATAATTTCTGCATTTGTTTAGATTGGAAAATATGATTACAATAAAGTGAAAATAGATTGACACTTCTTTCATAACTAGAAAGAAAACAAAAGACCTTATGATGAAAATTAAAACATGGAAAAATAACTCTAAAACCTATGCGATGATGATGATGATGATGTTCTGAATAGCAACTGAAGATTTTTTTTCTTATTAGAAGCTTAAAGCAGGAAATAGTGTTTTGAAAGCAAATAAAGCAATATTTATTACAAGACAGACTAATATTAGGTTTTTTAGGACAAGTCCTGATAGTTGGAGAACACTTGATGTTAACAGATACAAAGCTATCTTTTATGGCGAAGAGAAATGAAAAAAAGTATCAGGTCAGAAAGAAAAACCGTGTATATAGACTTTTTTAAAACTATGAAGACAGATACACACTCCACTTTACAGAAAAGTAAAACATTCATTTCAACTGATAAAAAAATTACCTTGTAGCCAAACTTTTATAAAACTAGATTTGCTAATCTGGAATTGACTTCTTTTTATAGCAGTTTAATTACATATTGGATATGTAGAATGGTTATCAGTACAGAAGGTGGAATTGGCATTCCGAGTTCAAATTGCAGCCTAGTTTGCTGCATTCACTTTCACATTAATGACCTTGAAAAGGGCATGAACCCAGCCTTCCACAGCTATGGGTTAAAAAGCAGCATTCACTAGGCTCTGAAGTCTTGAGTGACAGCCAGTCTAGGAGAAAGAATATGTTAAGTTCAAAGCTATGGAGAAGGTAACATGAAACTATGCCATTATCTTTCCACAGAAGTCATGGCAATTCCCAGATAATAAAGCAAAGGAATCTGTGACTAGTGAAATCTACCTACGTCATAAAGAGATATAGCACTTTAAATATAAAGTTACATATTAAATCAATAATATACTATTTTACAAACAGCTGAGGATATAAGAAGTTTTAAAATATCAGAAATTACCACCAAATTTGTCATGATTTTTATAGATGTAAGCTTATGAAATTTTATTTGAAATTTTTGTTTAGATATTTTAACCAACTAAATTCAGTGTTGAAATTTTACATATATTGAACAAAAGAAAATTGTGAAGAGATTCAAATGAACTGGCATTTCTGTCATGACAGAACTTTCCCCACAGATGAAACATTGCAAGCCTCTTGCTGCCTTATTGTTATTTCTATAGAAAGTATTCAAACTACATCCCTTAGTTCCACCAGTTTTAACCTTAATGGCGAAGACTACCTAGCTCTTGGGCCTTGTATAGGGTGAACATCATTGTAAAAAAAAGAAAAAGTAAAACATATATTGGAATTTATTTTTAAATATACACAAGTAAAACATAAAGAGAAGAATGTGCTGCTCTATTAGATCAAAATTCAAATGAACAAATTTTAGATATTATTTTCTTTAGCTTTATGTCTTATTTGTATTTCAAGCTAACAGTTTTATCTAAGAGAAAACTGTAAAATATTCATGAGCATCTATTTGAATGCAAGCAATTCTGTATAACCTTGCTATTAAAGGCATATAAATCTACAATTAAGGCTAAGCATGTTATTTTAAACAAAGTAACGAATAAAAGAGTAAAAATAACTAATAATCTCTATAATAAGATTAAAAACACTAAATTGTTCTCAGTGTAAAGACACTAAATATTTCAGAAGGATTATTGAGAAACTGTTTGAGATTACATTTTATCTATTTCTGAGTTATTTTAAATTAGAACCCACAGTTTATTTAGTTAATGTTTTTCCATATATCAGTCTTTTAATGTTTTTTGTTTCTGTTAATGTATACTGAGAATCATGCAGCTTAGAGTAATACCATCCTTGTGGAAGGAGATGAAAATAATTAAACTGAAACTACCTTTATTAAAAATGATGAGAATTTATCTTTCAAAATTAATTGCAAAAAGAGATGCTTGCAATGTGAAACTGCAAACATGACCATATAAAGATAAAAACTTTTTATCCATTTTATATACTAAGTAGAGCGTTAACTCTTTGCTAATAAAAATAAAAAATAAAGATAAACATTTATCAGGATGCATTGAGAATATGAATATATTTCATAGCTGTATTGTAAATATATTAAGCATTTAGTTATACAAAATTACTCTTTCATTTTTAACTTGAAATGTTTTAAAAGCGGTTTTAAAAAAACT